TCCCTCCGCCTCCAGCGTGACGTCACACAAGGCGTTCTGTGAGCGCAGGTTCCCCATTCCCTCTAGTAGCTTGGCCAGGTAGGTGTCTGAATAAAGACACTGGCCCTCAGCCCAGACTTGATTGCTGTGAGGCATCGTTCCAGAAGTCACGATGTGCAAGGAATGGTTCCTTCTCTCCCAAAGGCTTTGGACCGTCCTCTTACACAGAGGCTCTCTTTACAATCTAGGGGTACAACTCCAAGACTTGGAAATTCACACCGACGGCTTCTCTGAGTGCAGATGGTGGGACTGGCTGTCCGGTTAGTGGTGCTCTGGCTGGGCTTGTGTTTTGCCTGCAATGTTTTCTTCCTGGGCTACTATGAGAGCAGGTCAGCTGATGCGTCATTTCCCAGGGAGCGCTGTCCTCTCCCTCCCTCCCTCCACTCAGGTCCCTTCATGAGCACAAAAGGTGCACTGTCTATTTTTCTTCTGCGGTCATGCCTGAAGTGGCCAGGTGCAAGTCCAGGCTTGCCTGCTGCTTTTCAAATTGCCAAGCATCGTCCAAGGTGAAGGAGGTGACTTGGGTTGTAATACTGGGAAGCAAGAAGCAGGGAAGGCAGTGGGAATACTATTTTCTGTTGCTTCTCTAGTATCTGCATCAAGGTTGCATGTAGAGTGACTGTGCTGATCAGATCCAAAGTTTCATCCAGTCCAGTATCTCTCCCCCAGATGCCTTTGGGAAGCCGATAAGCAGGGCATGTGGTGAGAGTCACATCCTTTGGTTCAGAAGTAGACTGTTTCCTTGTTCAGTGCAGGTTTCACTGGATGTGATCTCAAGTTCTAGCACTAGGAGAGCTGGAGAAAAACCATTTCCCACGTTCCTCATACTGCTAATCAGGGGTCATTTCGTAGAAAAAGAGCTAGGGGGACTCATTAGCATAACTCATTAGCATATGCCACACACCCTGACATCATCGGAAGTGTGTCCTCCCCACAGCCGGCGGCGACCTCCAGTGGGCACCAGCAGGGAGCTCCAGGCCCCGCCCTCCCGCACCTCACCCGGGGGGATGGCGTCCCCCCGCGTCCCCCCCCCCCAAAATGACAGCTGCTGCTAATAGTTTTGTAAGCCTCTCTAGTAAGTCCAATCTTTCCCTTATATAGAGAAAAAGTCCCACAGGAAACTAGAATAAGAAAAAACATCCGTGGGATGACCCAATTATGTATGAGAGCAAAGCTCTTCAATCTAAATAAACAGCAAACATCTCAAACAGTATAGAGTCCACGCAAATGGTCCAAAAGGTTCCCCAAAAGGAAGACTGGACTCAATGGAGAAAATGTAGAGTAGAAGTTGTGTGAATATATTAAAATAAAGTCACGTTGATAAAGAGGTTTCCGGATTTCTATTCTCCTGTTTTCTAAATACTCTTTTTCAGATCAAAGCATTACTACCTTTGATGGAAGAGACACACATTCAGACACATGGGATATCTGTTACCAGAACAATCTGGAGAGCGTGTGCCGTTACCATGAGAGATTATCCATGGTCTAATGTGTAAACTTTTAGCAATTGCACATCACATGAGAAAGCAATACCTGGCTCTAAAGAAAGTTTTTTTCATATATTTATTTCTGGATGTGTGTTGTTTTACAATAGTAATATTGACCACTGAGGAAGGCCCTAAGGGGCCGAAACGTGCATGGTCTACTGGTCATAAGATATACCCATCAATTGTATATGTAAAACTATCAGCTCTGTGTGCAAAAAGTTTTAAGAGTCTGATATTTGGATCATTTCTTTTAACCTGTTTTATCTTTTACTAATGTGTATACACCCTAGTAAATATTTGTATTTTTATAACTTATTTTGTTAGTTTGACCCTCATATCAGTCTTTTGTTTAACCCCAACCCATCAACCTGACCACCATCCTTTTATTCTACAGGCGTATTCTACAACTCAACCGGGCAGGTGCCATGTTTTGACATATATAAGCTGTACCAGAAATGTGCTGATCCAACTGGCTGCGGCACGGGCTCAGACGCCCAAGCCTGGGACTATCAGGTGCGTTTGGGGAATGAGTGAAATTTCCTTAGGGCAGCGCCCCCTCCTTCTTTGATTATAAGAAAACAAAGCGATTGTGATCTTAACATTTTATCTGGGGCAACTGCCACCAAAATCACTGGCTTGTAACTCAAGCTGAGTCCAATTCTGGTGCCAGTCTAAATGATTCAAGTTTAGACGTTTGCATCTAACTAGCTTTTCCTGAAAGCTTCTGTAAGTCCTGGGGGGATTCAAAAGCTATGCTGGGCAACAAACCATTCTCTCTCTCTCTCTCTCTTACACACACACACACACACACACACACACGGGATCTTGCCAAATACTGTTGCCTGCATACAATTTTTACAATTGTAGGATGGAAAACCTGCAGTAACCCCCCACACACACGGTTGCTTATGCACTGCTCTTTTTCCTAGGCCTGCACAGAGATCAACTTGACATTTAACAGCAACAATGCGACTGATATGTTCCCAGAGATTCCCTTCACTGATGCTGCCAGAGAACAGTACTGCTTCAGCAAGTGGAGCGTGCATCCCCGACCATTGTGGTTACAGACCCATTTTTGGGGCAGTGGTGAGCAGGTCTTTCTTCGGGCAGGGAAGATGGCTTGTCGCAATATGGATCAGCAACTGCTAGTCTCTGGGACAAACCTGCCCTCCTGAGTGGGACCATTTGCTAACCCAGAGGCAAAGGGGAGATGGGTAACGAGCTGCAGTCAAGGGACTTGTAAACAATTCCCTGTGCAGGGCAGGGGCACTCTGGCCTGCAATTCTCCAGCCTCTTCTTTGAATTATTGCTGACTAATCTCTAGGTGCACACCATGCCTGCTGGGGGGAAAACAATTACAGTAGACGCTTGCCATTCACATATTTGCAAGCCACAGTTTTATTAATAACAACTTCAGTCCAATCATGTGATGAGCTTTATAGCCTTTATTTCCACACAATGTATCATCGTCATTATTACATTTGCAGGAAATCTGTTTCTTTTGCTATTGGGACTGCCTCCTGGTATTCACTGATTTTGCCATTCAGTGTGATCCTGAGAACAGATCCTCTGTGAATGGCGAGGTCTACTGTAGTCCCCATATCAAAGAAATGCCTGTTCTTTTGCCCGTATGATGCACACTTGCACAAATTCCTAGAAACCTAGAGCAGCAAGGATAATGTGTAGCCCAACTTCTCTTTCCCACCAAAATCCTCATTGCACTAAATCACAGCCACAGTGCACTCTTGCCAGAGTATAGCTACAGAATAACTGTCCATCTAGCCAAAGGGCTTGCCAAATGTTGGTAGCTTCTTTGGAACCTTATAATTGCTGAAGTCCTTTCAGTAAAGCAGAGTGGGGAAACTCAAAGGGAAAGGTAGTATCCTGATTTCTCTCTCTCATGCAACAAAATGGATCCTCTCAGGACCCATGTAGCCATTTTCTCTAATGTCTTCTCCAACTTCCCTAGATCTGGCTGCTGCAAGCAACATCATCTTTTCAAATGGAGACTTGGATCCCTGGGCAGGTGGTGGTGTAAGTATCTCAAGAGGAGACTTTCCCCTTTCCATTGCCTGCCCACCAAACACTTTTCATTGAAGTCTTCTCTCATGAGTTGGTAGACAGGCTCCAAACTGTCTGACTTCCAGATATCATTTCAGATTGGAAAGAACCTGAGTGCCTCGCTGATCGCCATAACCGTTAAGGGAGGTGCCCATCACCTGGACCTCCGGTAAGTGTTGTACAAATAGGCAAGATTGTAAGGGTTTCTTGAGTGGTTTGTTATTTTGCATAACTACCATTGAATTTATACCAATGACTGAAAGAATTGATGAATCCAGCAAGTAGGAGTTTTAAATCCCCATTTAAATGTGTGTTTCCATTTTCAATCCTTTATTTTATGCCACTAGACAAAATCTGGAATTTTAGTGCAGGAATTCTAGACACCACTTCCATTACCCTCTTCCTCCTGAGATACAAGATTATTAGCAATGTTCATCCCAGTACCTTAGTTGGCCCTCATACTTGCAGGGTTTTGTTTTGTTTTTTGTAATGGGCAGTTGAAGGAGGTCTTGTGTCTCTTGCTATTGTTTTTCCTAGCAATTGCAAGCTCTTCAATATTTAAAATGCTGGATTTTCAATCTAAATTCTTCCAGAACAAACATTCCAGATCAGTAGGATTCAAACCCTAAAACCTGTGGTTCCCTGAATAGAACCATTTTCTTAGCCAAAAGCATTAATGTGGTTTGCTGTTCCCCACAGGGCGTCAAACCCAGCTGACCCGCCATCTGCCAGGGAGGCTCGTCGTCAGGAAGCAAGCATCATCCATGACTGGCTGAGACTGGCAAGGGAAGGCCTTGGTTCTTGAAAGAACCAGCCAACCACTTTTTATCTGGAGTAATCAAGGCAATGTTCTGAGGCTAAAGCCATTTTAAAAAGTCCTTTGCTAAGGAAATGAGCATTCATGACGTATCCTTCTGAGGCAGTGACACTTCATGCTTGTGTCAGCAAGAATAAAACTGTCCAGATTCCTCAGGCACTCAGTTTTCCTTTGTGTGCATTTCCTGGACATTGGAGAAGATAACACAGACTTTCTTGTAGCCAGTCTGTCTTTCATGTCTATTTGGTTGGGGGAGGGGGAGGAATCAGGGCTACCGCAATTGCTGGCTTTTAATGACCAGCTGAGGGATTCAGCCTCTCTCGTCAGTACTTTGCAGTAGTGTAATGTGCAGAGACCAGTTTAACCAGTCTTGCACATACCTTGTTGAAATTAATTATGATTAAACTAATCTTACAGAGAAGCTCAGGGAGGGAAATAGTAACGCCCGTTCTTCTACCCCTGTCTTGGGGTTGCCAAAAGTTTGTTGGAATAAAAGGATCTGCTTCCAGGCTTTGATAAGCCTTTGGGGAAATACAATTCCAGTGTTGAGGGGCAAGCCCCCAAATGCAAGCAAAGCCCCTCTTGACATGCCCTTCTTGAGCACAACCTACACATAGTAAATCATACAGCAGACACAGCTTCTCAAAATAAATTACGAGTTTATTAAAGTGGAACAGAATTTTGTGGTTTTACTTTCTAACACAGGTGGGGTTTTGTTTTGTTTTAAAAGTTACCTTTTCCTACCTCTTTAAAAGGCAAAGTACACTTAAAATCTCCTGCACATTTACAAAGGGATGGATTTTTCTGCTTACATACGGTGCACCGGGTAACACACCACCCATGCTTCAGTAATTTGCCTTTTCTGCATAAGGACAAGGGGACAGGGTGGTCTCAGGACAGGCATCCGGCTCCTCTCACTACACAGGAGCAAATACAGCAGTGTGTAGCATCTACACGTGAGGTTGGGTGGTTGTAAGTTCTGGCCTTCATCTACAGCAACAGCAAGTTGTCAAACCATTCCTGGATTGCTATTTCACATAGTTCTCTAAAGAGAGGAGAAGTGTGGGGAAGGCTCCCGTTTCCCCCTGTTAAGACACAGGGAGGAGGAATCAGCAATGTTCACGAACAGCATTAAAATAATAATTTTTCTATTCTTAATTACGTACACCCACACACATATACCCCAGAACAGACAATATGTAGCCACAGAAGACCTGAGGACTCACTAAGGAATGGCTGTAGATTTGGTGATGCAAAGTGAGAAAGCGGTAATACAAAAACCAATAAAGACTTGGCTTTCCTGAAAGGGGAGCTTCCAGGCAAGCCTAAGGGCAACAGGACAGCACGTTAAAGCCAGGCTGTACTCTGAGTGGGTAGAAGAATCTGGATTCTGCACCAAGAGCCACGTTCCACAACCTGCACAAATTATGCAAGTTTGGGTCATTCCTTTAGCTTTTAGCCATAAGTTTTAGCTTTTAGCCCAGGAAACTGAGATATTGTTCCAGTGGTGGAAGGTGCCCTCTCTCAAAGAATCAGACATGCTATTTTCATATTGGTGAGGTTCTTGTCAGCAATAATTTCTCTAGCTTCTGCCTACCTGCAAGTAGGATGGGCCCTCCCGTAGCTCTGTTCCCTACCTGTCCTTCATTGCCCTCACACACTGAAGGCACCGGTGCAAAGTTAAGTGTCTGCCTCCAAACACCACAGCAATTGTTCAGCTTTAGAATATGGCTTTAAATTCCAGGGTGCACTTACGTGAGGGGGGGGGGGGGAATGGGTACCTTACAGCACACACAAAGCATTTAGTTGCTGCTTTATGGTCCCCATTAGATCAGCCAGCTTAAAGAGACTCAATTTTTTAGAAAGTATACAGGGTCTTCCACTGAACCTATGAAGCTGGCTTACACCGAGTCAGTCCATTGGTCAATCTAGCCCAGTACTGTCTTGTCTGATTGGCAACAGCTCTCCAAAGCCTCAGCCACAGAAGGCCTTTCCCCAAGCCTGTTACCCGAGAACGTATCTGGAGACTGAACCTCAGGCCTGCATGTAAAGCAGGTACTCTGCACAACTGAGCCCCAGCCCTCTCCCCCGTTTTAAGATCGGATTAGCCAGTTTAGTTCAGATTGGCTCCCCTGACTTTGCAGTGATTCACCAGGGTCTGAGGCAGAAAAGGGTTTCTCCCACCATCTGGGAAACCAGAGATCCCAGGAACTGGACTTGGGACCTACTGCATACAAGCACCTACCCTACAATTGGCAAGCTGGAAATCACAATAGTTTACATTTATATTGCCTTTGGCATGCTCAAAGAACTTGCAATACTATATCTCAGTAATCCTTTGAACAGACCTGCAAGGTAGGTCAGTATTCTTATGACTCGGGTGGGGGGAAGGACCGAGGCTGAGAGAAAGCAGCCGCCACCCGAATAATTTCATCGCAAAGGAAGAACTCTGAGCCACCCCCCCAGCAACCAGTTCTTGTATTATGTGTAAACACAACCACAGTCCTCTTGCTTTTTGGATTATAAAGTCTTAAGGCTACCGTTTTATTGTGCACACCTTGTGTGGACAAAAACAACTCTTCGCCAATATGTGCCCCATATTCAATATGACTTGCAGGGCAATTGCTATAAGCTGTCATCACAGTTCAAGAAACAAGGCTCTACCAGGGGCACAACTCTGTGGGATTTTTTCTCACCCTAGCTGCAGCCTTTCTCTTGCATAGCTCTTGTTCTTTTGTGGGAGGACAGGACAATTTCCTGCTAGTAATTCAATAAGATGTACCAGTTCAACACAGGAAAAGCCAAAGCGGGCCCCGACAGAATCTACTGGCAGCACAGCTTTGCAAAATGCACAAAGACTGGAGACCCTACTGAGGCATGACTAGACAGCCCCTGAGCTAGAAAGGATTGTCCTACAGGTGCCACCCTTTTCCAAAATATGACTCTGTCTTTGGAGCTTTGAAAATGGGAAACTGGAAACAAGGATAAAAAAAAATAACACACCCAAATAGGGGGGTGGGCAAGCATTAACAAAATCACAAATTGTGAATTCTGAAATCCACCTGTTAAAAAGTTGTAGCATGTGAAATGGACCCCAAAGCCAAAGAGTATATTCAGGGAAAATATTTAGTTTCCCACAATCACACTATTGCATGGAATTCCTTCCTGTTCTGAATTACCCCTTGAGGTAGGTGGTGAAACGACACTATGAACTTCAGGCGGGAGCTCCAGAATGATGATCCAAAAGCGTATTAAGCATATTGTACTAAATTTTCTCCTTAAGAAGAGCTTGTGAGAGTGCAAAACCCACTAGCTCCTAAGATAAATGTTTAGTGGGTTTATTCCTTCTTGCACTAAAAAGGCCACCTCTTTCCAATACTACCTTCAAGGCTACCAAGTATGCACAGAAGACACAATCCATTATCTGTTCCCGATCCACTTTCACAGATATGATAACTACCACCCAGTTCTATCTGGTGGAAACACCTCTTCGAACTTGGCTGCCCCTTGAGGGCATAAGATGACCAACAATCTCTTCCTTCTAGCTCTCTAGTGAAAACTCTCCTTTACAGCAAAGCTCCAGCTGAGCCAACACAATGCAAAAGGAAAGTCCAGCAGTCCCACTGGGTTCAGGTGTGGATTCCAGTCTGGGGGGAAAAGGAAATTATTAGGGTTGCTAGTAGCTGAGCCTCAGGAAGCAGCTTTCAGTCCAAATACCTGAGCCAAAAACATCATAGATATAAACTCTAGCGTAGATAACCTTTTTAAGAACATAAATTCTCTCTTCACATTGTCTCTTGCATTTCTGCAGATTAAGTTAAGGGGGGGGGGGGAAATCCCGTCACAACATACCTACAAAGCTATACATGAGTTTCCACCCAAACCAGCAACTGCAGGACTTAAAACTTCTCCACGATTCACAACAGGTACAAGTGCCACATGATTATTCAAAGTGCTCCATTAAAAAATTAAGATGCTGCCACTGGTAGTGGCAGCTGGAAAAGAAGCTTTTCGTTCTGCCGGTGTTACCTGTGGCATAACCCCTCGGCTTGGAATGAGACTGGAGAATCAGCAATCGCACTGACAACCTGCATTTTAAATTCGGGGCGAAGGACCCATCTTTCTTGTTTATTGCCTTTACCTTGCAGGTATGGTAATAGGCCGATACAACGGAATGATGCTGTAAACTGGGACACTTCTCGGTGTACCTCGACAAGGCTCCTCTTGTCGAGATGATAATTCTGACACCAAGACGATCTATACAGCCTGGATCTCAATGGGCCAACACCAGTCCCACCTCTCCCAAAGCGTCTTGTGTGCCAAGCAGAACTCACTGCTGCAATAAATTTGCTTGGCCCTCTCTGGCTTGTGTGTCCAAGTGCTGGGTGGGTGACAATGGGGAGATGACACGAGAGGGTGTGGATTCCAGGCCAAAAACTTCCCCTCCACAATCTGAGCTTCCTTTCTGATGTGCTGTCCAGCAAATACACATGAACCCACAATATTCCGTACACCTCCCTTCAGACCCCCAGTAAGCTGGGATATGATCAAGACTGGGAATGGCAGCTGGCCCACGTTTCATTGTTGCTGATGCCAGATAGGAAGGGGGTGAGCCTCTGTATTGAAGACGTATTTGTCGAGGTTTATCAAGTCGACATCGTCCGAAAAGAGCAAGAAAAGGTATTTGAGTGTTTCGCCAAGGAAAAAACTCTCCATCTTATCTCTTGGCTCAGGATTGCTAGGGTTCTGGACGTTGTTTATGGAAGTATAGCCACCTGTAGGAACCTGGATGAAAGAATTGCAAGAGAACAGATGGGTACACAGCATGGGTGTGAAGATACAACTTACCCAGACACGTCAGATATTGTGTAACAACCCCTTCCCTGCCAATCCCTGACCTAGCCACATTACCCCTAGCTAGGTTTTTTCTATGTCAATGGGAAAGGCTAGGAGGGGCTACAGATGAAAAGGGGAAACTGAAGAATAGGATTAAGCACTCCCTCCCCATATACACTGCTGACACTGTTCTAAAAATCATTATCCCACTGCTTTGCAGTGGTCCAGTGGTGAACGCAATTCCCTGATCTGTGTTTGCTGCTGTCAGTGCAGTCTCCCACCCATCTGTTCAAGTTACCAGAGAATGAGGGAAGTGCAGCTAGTTGAGCCTCAGCTGAAGTCAAACATTTCCCGTTGCCAACTGTCATCCAGCCACGCCACTGACGCGCAACCGAAGGCTACAGAAGTCAAATACATAGAAGCGAGCGCACAAGTCCTGACAAGCAGGCATTGGGAGCTGAGATGGTGGCTTTAATAGGCAGGACTTCTCTTATGGGCTCCTGCAGGTCCCGTACCTTGTGTACAGCCAGTTCCAAGCCTCTCTCCACTGCCTATCATTTCAGCCAGACTGACAACAAGGAGGGCCCCCCCACAGTGCCTAAAAGCTTCCCAAGCTGGCCGTCAAGATTGCTTGGTTTTACCCGTGTGTATTTATTGAAGTTCTGGAGGATCTCCCAGCCCCAGTCCTGATACTTCTTGTCGCCCGTGAATCTATACAGGTAGAAAAAGCTCTCCACAGCTTCAGGGCGCAGAAGGTTGTGTCTGTCTGCAGCCTGGAGAAGGAAGAAAAAAATCCAAAACAGAAAAGGACAAAATTCAATCTTCTCTAACTGTACTACACTCTGCCCTCCCACGACAGACAGGCCAACTGAACGAGGAGATCTTGCAAAAAGAGAGGGAGAGGGAGACAGCTAAGGCCCTCTCCAACCACAACTATTCGATCATTCTTACTCCAAAGGATTAGAAAACCTGGCTCTGAAAAGTGGCCAGTGCTTCATTTGTTCCAGTTCCAGAATCTGGCTTTTCCTGTCATGCAACTGGGATTGTTTTAAATGCACGCACATGCACACGCATAAGAATGCTAACACAGCATAATGGATCACAGACTGAGTTTGACCAATGTTGACAATCACACCTCTGCCCCCAATTATCCAGGTGACGTCGGGCAAGCTACACTCTCAGCTTCAGCTGCCCCATTTTACATATCTAAAGATTACCCTGTAAAGTGGGTTACTGGCACATCTAATCCTGTTATGTCTGCACCAGCAAAAGACTGGCTGGCAGTGGCTCTCCGAGGCTGCAGGCAGAGACCCCTCTGCACCCAGCTACCAGGGATCCCTGTAAAGGAGATGGTGGAGATGGAAGTTCAGACCTTCAACACGCAAAGCCTGGATTCTGCCACTGAGCTGTGGAACCTTCCACTGCAGTGTGGGGTTTTTTTAAACAACCAAAGGGTTGGGGGAAGACAGTCTGTTGCACAGTGATTGCACCTGGTGTGATGTTATGTTTCTAAAAGGATACGCATCCAATAGAGAACTGGCACTAAAGATTCACACAACTTCTCCCGCCAGGGATAACACCAAGCAGCTCACCTTGATCTCCACATCTTTTCGTTCCTTCTGAGCGTGCATGTTGAAGTGGACAATCTCTGGGCTCAGGCCAGTCTCCACTTGGGCGTACATCTGATAGCAGGTCTCCGCAAGCTCTATGGCCAGATCCAGGTGATCAGACGGGAGCCCGTTGTGAACTCCAAGAGCGAGGGCTCCAGGCAAGAAGCAAACCAGGTGGTCCTGGCCGAGACACACAGAGGAAGAGGTTCCAATCTCGCTCACACAGGGCTTTTCCTTTTTTTCCTCTCGGAGACTCTTTCCACACAAACCCCCACAAGTTGCAGAGGCTTCTATAGCAAATTCTCCACTATTGTAGTGGCCTGACCAGCTAACTGGGACTCATCACATGGACTGAGAATGAGCTCTGAGACTGGAACATCCCCAACACTCCCCTGTAGCTGTGCATCACGTGACAAGAACACGAGGAAGGGGCAAACTATCTTTCAGGAAATCTTGTCCGCCATCACCAGTTTTCTCATCGACGAACCTTTGAGAAACTTCCAAGGAGTTTGAAAATTGCTGCTCTATAACAATGACAAAGAATGTTCCAAGCATGCTGAAATAGTCTAAAAGCTACACAATGCATACTTTGTTGGGGGAAAGAAAACAGCAGGCTTAACTGAAGAAAGAGGGGGAAGGCAGGCCTCTCTTGAAATTACTTCTCTCAATTTTGACACCCTTACAGCCAGAAGTGCATGGACTTGGTTTACTCACTGCTAAGCCCATGCACAGAAATACCACTTTGTCCTTCAATTTAACACATTCTTTACAAGATAGCATTGTTTTCTTCTCTGTTCTGTAATGTGATGCAACCTGCTTCTGTCATGGGATGCTGGACCTTCTCATGTGTCCCAAGGGGCCTCCCCCCTCCTCTTTGTTTCCCTGTGTGTCTGTTTTTCTGCAACACACCTTACACATCTGATCAAGTGACCTCTGGCTCACAAAAGCTTCTGACACAATAAAATGTTAGGCTTTAAAGTGTCGTGAGTCTCTTTGGGCTGGATCCCGCAATCCCTTCTGCTAACAGAAGTGTCTTCTTCTGGTGCAAGGAGCCTTCGGCCAGAGGAAAGCACCACTGTGACGACCCCTTAACTGGGGAGGTCTGGTTTTACTTTAAAAGTGTTCCTTTTATTTTATTTTACTGGGTATTCCGGCTGCCACCAGGAAATTTAAGGCTTTCCAAACCTCTATAATATAATATTTCTGTCACTGGGTAGGTAAGTCGAGGGTTTAGGCGTTCACGAGGGTCTATGTGTTTCCTGGGAAGAATTTCTTTCAGAACTGGTATCTTAAATAAAAGTAGATTTATTGATATTTCACACACTTTTCTCTCCCACTGTCAGGGATCTGGGCATGTAACTTTGTAACACTTTTTTCTTCTTAAGGCCATATACGGTTACTGTTTCTTTATACTTCAACTTTTCATAACAAACACAAGACTTCTCTCTCTCAGTCCTTAAAACGAACAAACTGCTTAACTCTTTTACTACACAGAACCAAATTATCCCACACAGGGATGAGTCTCTCTCTCTCAGACTTCCAAACTAACTCTTTTTCCACTGGCTTCATCAACTGTCATCTCTAATTGACACTCTTGACTGACATATCTGCTCATCCACACAGAATCATTTCCAAAACCCCTCTCCCTCTCTGTCACTCACCAATCACACCACTTGCTTGTTTCCACTACTCTAGACTATCATACAGCCATGCATCCAAACTTTTAAAGTCACACACACACAGTTAAACATGAAATCGTTACAACCACCGTTAGGGAATCTGACCTTTTGTTGTTTGGGCTGCTGTGACTCATGCAGCCACCCCTCTGGAAACTGCAAGCACAAGTTAAGTCCCCTGCCCCCACCCCGAGCCGCTTACCATTTTAGCACTGAAACGGCCATGAGCGAGTTCACCGACGAAAGTCAGTCTTTTGGGCTGGGATTTGCGAAGAAGATGCGTTTTCACCCCTTCTATGCCCTTCACGTAATCTTCCAAAAGCCTGCCGATTAAACATACTAATTACGGGAGGAGGTTTAACAATTGTGACTGACGTCAACTGGGCAGGACTCCATTTAAAAATTAAAAAATAGCACGGCTGCCCGATTCAAATCCGGCCCTCTCACTCAATGGCCTTAGGCAAGCCGAACTGTCTCACATCGCCCTGCAAAATGGGAGTCATAATACCAGCTGACTGTACCGGGTTTTTTTTATGTATGCCCTTTCTATACTGCTGCTCTGTTCCAAGTAGTTTACAGGACTTTAAAAATCACAACACACAACAGAGCTTTAAAAACCCCAGTAATAATTCATTTACAAAGTCATAGCAAGCACAGGAATCATCATTTGGAAGATGATTCAAGACAGAAACTTGGAGAGCTGGATTTGTCTCTTGCCCCCTCCCCCCCTCCCATTTTGATAGCAGGAATTGTGGGGGGGGGGCTTGCTTAGCCCTCCTTTTGCCAAGGACAGTTGCTGGAAGGATTATAACATAATCGTGAATTGTCACTATATGTGAGGGGATTTAAATGCTTGAAAGCTCCACACCAGTGCTAAGTAGGATTATTATTGCTGCTCTCCATTACATATCCCGCAGCATGCCTCACCCATTTAAAACCTTAACCCACCACATTGGGAAGCAGATGACTTTTCAGGCACAAAAGAACATGGCTTAGGGACACGGTGCTTTGGCGGGGGGGGGGGGGGGGGGGGGAGGTGCCGGAACTCACAGGAGGGAAATGAAGTTCTCAAACTGCCTACTGAAAACTCATGAACTTTTAAACATTTTAAAAAGAATTTTGTCGGAGAGGTTCCGGAACTCCATTCCAGCACGTTCCTCCAGGGAAAAAAAGCCCTGCTTGGGGGGATTCTCGCAAAAGGAGGCGGCTGCATTCCCACCTGGCTCCAGATTGCCCCAAAGCCCACTTCTGCCACAAAACACAGACCTCTGGTTGAAAAGGCCTGGGAGATACCCGTTGAAAGCAGGGCCCATCCTGGAGCTGACCAGGGAGATGGGTGGTGGTGGTGGTGGTGGTGAATGACAGACTTACTCATTTTCCTTCTTCCCACCCTGGATCCACTGCTTCAGCAGGTACTCATAGTAGCTGTCTGCTCTGGCTCCAAGGGTATACACCCCTAGATGGGTAAACTGCCCACTATTGGTGTTGATGAACATGGGCACCAGACCATCATTCTTTCCAGGGAGGGAGTGAATGTGTTGCATCACCCCATCAACAGCTTTCTACAGGAAACAAAACCCAGGAAATCTCTCAGGCTCAAACACACACACACGGGATTTTAAAATTAAATTCTGAAGGGCACACCAAACAGTGGAATTTAAGAATGCAGGAAGAGCCCTGCTGGATCAGACCAGAGCCCCAGCCAGTCCAGCATCGTGCTTCCCACAGTGGACTGAAAGTCCAAAAGTATGACGAGAATACAAGGGCCATTCCCTGTGGCTGGTTTCCCCCCACAGCATCTGGTGTTCAAAAGGACATGACCACCAGACACAATTTTCAGTTTGCGACTGTGGCTGCTAGCTGTTGACATTCTTTCCTCCATAATTTTTTTAAAACCCTGGCATTTTGAGGACATAAATTGTAAGTCAAAGTAAACCTCCCAAAACTCATGTACTTTTACACTTCACTTTGATAAAGCCCCTAAGATCAAATCACATCAGTCACTGAAAGTATTAAGCAAAAATTGATTGGAAGAACATGAGAAATTTCTCCAGAGTGAAAAGGTATTCTAGCTTTAGGAGCACATCTCGACCGCCCAAGTCAGCTCAACTATTTGCTCCATGAGCTTCTTTCTGCCTGCAGCGTGTTGTCTCCAGGATGGTATTCGTGAAAATCTAGAACACTGATGGAGGGAACCTCCCATGTTTGGAACCATGGCCTGGACTAGATGACCTCTGGTTCCCTTCAGTGCACTGTCAGAAAAGGAAGGAGAAAAGAGAAACAAAGCAAACAGCTCCATCAGTACCTGGAACTTCTCTTCCCCCGTGAGGCGTGAGAGCTCCCTGAACTCCAGCTGAATGCTCGTCACTTCAGCCACCGTGCTATCAGACGTCCAGCGTGGCGGGTGGGCTGTGCCCCGGCCAATGTTTACATCTGAAAATGGAATCTTGGAAGGGGTGTTGAAGGCTGGCATGAGTCTGCTGCCAATGTCTTTCTGAACAGCAGAGAACATGGAAAGGCGGGGAGAGGAGACAGGATGAGAAAAGATTACTGTTGCCTTGTATAGACGTCGAACATGAAGGAAGAGATTATGCATAAAGGCTGCATCGGAAAGACTCTGTTAATGGGCTTGCGATGTCCATCTGGCTCTCATTGCTTCATCAACTTTATATTTTCCTTGTACATTTGGACACTCTAGACCAGCAGTCCTCAGCCCACTGCCCATGAACTCATTTGCCAAGAGATGGTGGCTCAGGGGCTGAGGCTTTGTGTGGTGAAAGAGCGGTCTCCAGCTAAAGGGTTTTTAGGTGGCAGGAAATTAGAAAGACCTCTCCCTGCCTGATCCCCTGGAAAGCCACTGCCAGTCACAGTGGACCATACTAAGCTAGACAGACCACCAGCTTCTTGTGAGCAGGGGCCATAGTTCAGTGGTAGAGGATATGATGCCCCTGGCATCACCAGTTAAAAAATCTCTGATGTCTTGGATAACAGGGAACTCTGCTCAAGACCCTGGAGTGCTACTGCCAGTCAGAACAGATGATACCAAGCTAGAAGGATCAAACACCCGATTCAGGGTAAGGGAGCTTCACATTTTTACGTCTGCAGATGAAGCCTTGCGTATTGAAAAGGATTGGGGGGGGGGGCGCCCTGCTCCGGGTCACATGCTCAGTTGATAGCGTGGGAGTCACTGATGCTCAACATGAGTGAAACCATGCACCCTACACATCACAGAGGACTACTGAACATGGATGAAGCAAGCTCTCTTTCAGGGAAATTTGTCCTGGATGTCTGACCTTGATGTTATTTTATTTATTAAAACATTTATTTCCCACCTTTCACTATAGCTCAAGGCAGTTTACGGATAACTGAAATGCATCACAATTTAAAACCAGCAAAATGCAGTCACCCCCCCCCCCCCCCACACACACACACATACACACACCAAAGAGACCTGCAGTTTATACCCCATTAAAAGCCCTGGAAAATCAGATGGTCTTGCAGTGTCTGAAGTCAGCCCCCCTTCGTCTCCTCATGAAGCCTGTTCCCCAAAGTGGGAGATGGGATAGAAAAATACAGGCTCCAGTTGATGTTAGGTAGATTACTTTCAGTGAGGGACAGCCAGTAAATGGCAGCCTAAGGACTGCAGTTGGCACACTGGGACATACAGGAGGAGGGAGCCCATCTTTTGCGGCAGGGCGGGGTATAAATCTAATAAATATGTATGTATGTATGTATGTATGTATGTATTCCAGACCATGACAGGCTTGAGGGACCCCTGAGAAAGCTCGCAAGGAACCCCAGCAGCTCAGTCCGAAAGCCACTCTCTGCTGCCGAATCCTGAAGATGGGTCTTCCTGTTATTAGGTCTGTGACCAGTGATACTTGGGGGGATCCAAAGAGCTGCTTTGGCAGGGACAACAGTGAGGTCTTCTGGCATTTCCCCCCCTGCATGGCTTGTAACAATGGGTGGCGTGTGGGGGGAGGAGGGGATTGCAATTCAAGTCCACAGCCCTCTTGGGTGCAGAGAACTAGCTCGATGGCTCTTGGGAATCCCAGCTCAGGATTCAAAGGTTTTACTTATACACCCACACATACAAGCATACGCGTTGCCCTGCTATTAAAAATAAAACAAAGCCCTTCTAAAGTGACTAAAATCAGCTCCCAGCAGAATAACCACCATTCAAAATCTCAGAGCGGCAGCAAAAAGAACAGCACGACACTTCAGTAAAACTAGACTGGCGCCCATCACCTGCCTAGCAGTTAAACTGGCTGCCAGTGTGCCGTATAGAGAGGGGGAAAGTTCCCTTGCAAAATCTCCTGCCTACCACTCACCCAAAAAGCATACATAGGTACACAGATCTGCAGAACTACTTCGAGGAGGGAGAGGGTGCATTTACATTGCAAACATTACAGGTTTTTCCACCTCCCACTGCAAGGACTGAAACTCTTGTGAGAATGCCAGGAGTCTTCCATCGTCATTTCTGAGATTTGGGAAACAGACACACAGGTCAGGGAGCAGGGTTCACTTTGTATGACAAGATAAAAGGTTGCTTACAGCTTTCTCTAGGAAGAGGGAGTCCCCCGACAAGTGATAGGTGCTGAGCAGACCTCCCAGGATCCGAATGGCGCTCTCAAAAAGGTTGACGTCCACATTCTTGTCAAAGTTTAGCTCTGTTACAACCCACTTCTTTGCTTCTGCAAACTCTGCATCAGGGGAGAACCCAAAGTCACTCAACAGAACCATCCAACGGTTCTCTGGTGTGCTCTGGGAGAGGAGAAAACCTCAGACAGGGGGAGAAAAGTATCAGGACTCAGGAAAATGTCTCTCCCTAAGGACACAGCTGCTAATCTCTGTGGATCCCAAGCCCCCATTGGAAAAGAAAGGGGTACGATAGCTAGAAAGGAACCCACAGGAAAGTCTGACAGGTTGCTTCTCATCTGCCCATATTAAGATGCAAACCCAAAGCAGTCTGGACAACAGCAGCCTCCTCCCATACGAACCGACTAGGACTGACAATCACCCAGTGGGCAGGGGGCTGATCGGTACACCCCCATCTTTTGCAATGCGGCAGGTAGCCACAAGAGATGGAGCCTTTCCAGGGAAAGGAGAGAGGGGCCTCTTCTACAGAACTCCCTCCCTGCTGCAATTGCTGGGTGCTGCTGCCTCCTCCGAGTTTCAGACGTGAGCAGAAGTCATTTATTTGTTTCCCCAGGCATCTGGGGAAAAGAAGGATCTGTCAACTGACTTTTTTAGCTGGCATTACGATCTCATTCTAAGGTGCAAAAAAACCCCAACAACACCAGCAAGTAACCTGTTTATTGCTGCTGATCTTTTTACCCGTCCTATTCTACATTTGCATTATTTACCTGTTTGTCAACCACCTACAGAACCTTATCTAGGAGGTGGTCTAAAACCGAATCCAAGGCTCATGGCTAGGGGCTATGGCAAAAGAGGCTACAGCCTCTCAGGTTGCAAAGCATAGGTCAGCCCTGGATCACTTGATCTTTGAGAAACAAGCATGCATGGCCATGTGTCTCTCATACACAGGAGTCCCAGTGTTCCCTCTAAGCTGAGTTAGCATGAGCCAGCTCACAGTCTTTTAGCCTCCGGCTCACACATTTTTGTCTTAACTCAGGAAGGATGGCTCCAGAGCAAACTAATTTATGCAGTAGCCAAACTGCTCACTCACAGCTTTAATGCCAGTAGCTCACAAAGTAGAATTTTTGCTCACAAGACTCCACAGCTTAGAGGGAGCATTGCACAGGACAAGCCGAAGGTGTTGCTTCCAGTAAACTGGTGGGGGAACAAATTTTGACCAAACCATGATTTTCCTGCACATGTAAATGGATCTGGCTAAGACTCAATAGAGCCTTTTTATCGCCACAGTAAGCATGGTAATATTGAGGACACTGCTCCATTTCTGGTAAGGATATGTCCTCTTCACCCATAGGTATTGCTGGCAAAGTAATGCAGACTGTGGAAATGAGGCAGGGTGAAAAGCTAAAACAAGAAAAAGAGGAGCTAACCTTCCTTTAGGCCCAAAATCCACATGGTGTCCAGTGCATCAATGAGCGTCAGGCCAAGGCCAAACCACTCGCTGAATGACTTGGAGATGGGCTTCAGCTCGTCATGGCCCCAGGCAAATTCCTTGTAGCCTTTCCATGCGTGGCGGAAAGCCTCTATCACAGCCATCTGGCGTTCATTAAGAGGCACTAAAAGCAGAAAGCAGAAGAATTAACTCCTGGATGAAGCACATCAACTGGACCCTGCCTGATCTAGCCTTTAATCTATTGGTTTTAAATTGTAATAAGGGGTGTAAACCATCTTGAGCCACAAGAAAAGGCAGGAGTTAAATATTTTAACTGATAACTAAATTAATCAAGGGTCACTCTTGATCTCACTTTCCCCTGAATCCAGAGAGAACAGTCATAGCACACCATTGTAAGAGAGGATGTGGTCAGAAGGCAGCTCAATTCATATACCAGTCTTTGGATTGCACACATTTCAGATGCGTACCCAGTGAAACAGCCCACAACTATCTATCCAGCAAGAATTAGATTTAATCCCACTAGAGCTGGCAGGGGGGTGGGGTGAGGAAGAGCCCCCAGCTAGGCTCTGTCCGAACCTACTACCTGGCTCTTTTTGGTCTTCAGATTCCACGGGTGAGGGTTTGTCCAGTTCCTTTATTTTGTTGGAAGGAGACTCTGTGATCTGGTCAGGTTCAATCACTACTCCTCGCCAGCTGCAAAGGATAATGATGCCAGGAATACTGACCACAGCAGTTTGCTACAACACACACTAATTCCAGCCTCCACAGCAACATTACAAAGATGCATGGCTAATAATTAAAAGTAGAATCAAGTACGGAGAGCTTTCCCTTGCTTCAAATGCTGCATACCAGAGGATTCTTCCTCCAGCCTCATTTTCCTCCACCTGCTGCTGGGCCACAGGACTGCCCACAGGTCACCGGCTCTCCAACAACGCCTCTCCGTTGCTGCTCCTCACGCCTATGACTCCCAGAATTCCATTGTGGTGCTAACTCTTCCTTAAAATCTCACAATTTCCCACAAAGCCTTTGGCTTAACCCCCAATGGAAACAAAGCTTAGGCGTTCTTAATTCTATGGATGAATTGATCCCTTAGTGCCCTCTCCATTCCTTCTTCTTCATCTGCTATCTTTCCCCCTTATACAGTCTGTAAAGCTGCACACGTGCAAGGACCTATTTTTTTCTGGCTATGCCACTCTATAATATGTCACATACACTGACAGTAGCAATAAAGACAGTGCAAATTTTTGAGCTTCCTAGAGCAGCTCTTCCAGCAAAAGGACGGGAAAACTCCCACCCCTACCCCCGCATGCTTTTGTTCATTGGGATCTGTGACACTTCCTCCCACCTACCTAATAACAGACTTTTGCGTTTTGTGTTCTTGGACAGCCTGGCGCGGCTCTTCCTCTGTCTTGGCTGCACCCTCTTGCGACTTCACCTTTGTATTTCTCCGAGGCGGTCTGAGCTGCAGGTTAGGGGGGCCTCGTCGGACTGGAAGCTCCTTTGGGGGCTTCTGGAGAAAGGAAGTGAAGGGAAATCATCATGATTACTCCCACGTGTGGCAAGATAAAAAAAAGGCTTGCAAATGCATGCTTACTTGCCTGTAAGAGAGTTAGCTCCTTTTCTTTTGGTCTGTTACAACTGTCACACACAACTGGCATGGTATATGAATGCGCAAGGGGCCTGGTGCTTGTGGATTCACTGGCAAGGCTGCGATAAGCTGATGCCTGGTATGTAACTGCCCCAGCTTGAACTCCTCCAACAATGCCTGGCTTATCCCTTTGAACTGTTGCCTCAGGTGACTGAACCACCTTGCTGTTGCCACGTGTGACTAAACCAGGGCCACTTGTTACTAGCTCCCAATTGCATCTCTCAGAGGAGAGTAAGGATGCAGGAACACATGCAGGTCTTCCTTAGACACATGAAACTCGTGGGTTAGCTTTGGTAGTTCCCACAGCAACTGTGTATGTCACAGAGTAATAAATGAACACGGCTCTTTAAATGGAAGCCATACGATCCCCACTCTATGGAACATACAATTCAGTTTGACTTCAAGAGTGATAAAGACTCAGGTCTTCAGCCACTTCAACCCCACTTTACAGCAGCAAAAGTCCACCTACGCTGAGCAATGCACTAAGGGCAGGACACTTGAAGGGCAGGGCTCACCATCCAGAATGCCCGTAGTGGACAACATCCAGGTGGACAAGAAAATAGGGCCAAGATTTTTTTCCCTGAAACCTGCACACGCCACAAAGTATGGAGTTGTAAGCTACTCTCCAAGGTCCAAACGTAACAACAGAAGATAAAACATCTGCTGCAGATCCCAGAATCCTTCTTAAGAAACAAGTTATCTTTCAGTACAGCTGAGAGCAAAGAGCCCAATCAGAGGTCTGCTACTTCATCTTAACAAGTGAACAAGCTGTTTTCCAGACAGCGCATGGAATTTTATCATGGGTTTCTTAAGAACTAAAGCCCTGCTTACTCAGGTCTAGAGTCCATCTCATCCAACAGTGTCAATCAGACGCTTCTTGGAAGGCTATAATCAGAAGAGTGCAACACCTTTGCAATGCATGCCCGCTGCTGCCTTCAAGTTCCCAGCATTCAGAGGTACACTGCCTCTGAACATGGAAGTTCTATTTGGCTATACAGGGCAATAGCCATTAATAGTCCTTTCCAGAGTTCCCTCTAAGCTGAATTAGTGTGAGCTAGCACAGTTTTTTAGCCTCTGGCTCACACATTTTTGTCTTAGCTCAGGGAGGATGGCTCCAGAGCAAACTAATTTATGCAGTAGCCAAATCGCTTGCTCACAACTTTAATGCCGGTAGCTCACAAAGTAGAATTTTTGCTCACAAGACTCCACAGCTTAGAGGGAGCACTGGTCCTTTCCTCCATAAAATTTGTTGAATCTCCTTTAAAGTCATCTGACTGGGCAGCCATTGCCATACCCTGTGATAGTGAGTTCCATAAACTAAGTGTGCTTTGTGTGTGGCTGAGTACTTCCACGATAACATCCCAAATCTGCTACTCATCAATTTCTCTGGGTGACCTCAAGCTCTGTTATTCTGGGACGGGAAGAATTACCCTCGATCCACCTTCTCCATTCCATCCATAGCTTTATCAACCATGCCCCACCCTTACTTGTCCTTTCCCCTAAACTGAAAATCCCCAAACCCCTTAACCTTCTCTTGTAGGGAAGGTGCTTCAGCCTCTTGGTTATCTGGGTTCTCTTTTTCTACATTTTTTCCAGAGTTTATGATTGCCAGTGCCTCAATCAATAATGCCTGGTGTGCTTACCTGAAAATCAGTCTGCTTAACCACTACTAAATCTTCCCCTGTAATGTGCAGCTGTAGGAGAAAACTGCAGGGGCAAACTGCACTCTTACCTGATACGGGGCGAGAGCGAGGCATGCACCCCCTAAAATGCCCCCAAATCTTCTACAATATGCAGAGGATCTTGGGCAGAAAAGTCTATGTGGGAAAAGTTCCCTGTAAATGAAAAGTTTAAAAAATGCACAGGCAGCACTAACAAGGCTCCAGCAATGAAGTACACAGCATATAAGACTGCTATCCCAACCCTTCACACATAAGGAAAACATTTTTAAAAATTACTTGAAGCGAAAAATCTGAGTAATCCCCCAGATTAGGATCAGCTTTCTTGGGTATTGGCAGAACTGCCTGATTTGCTGGGTTCAAACCCGGAATCTCCAAATCCGTCTTCTGCTCCTCTGTGGATCTGCTGGTCAGGCCTGTATGGAGGAATTAACTGCTGTGAATGCCACTAACGCAACATAGCAAAATCAGTAGCTGAAGCCCTGACCTGGATAGCCCAGGCAAGCCCATTCTCGTCAGATCTCGGAAGCTAAGCAGGGCCGACCCTGGCAAGAACTTGGAAGGGTGACCTCCAAGGAATACCAGGGCCAGGATACAGAGGCAGGCAATATCAAATCCACCTCTCTGAAATGTCCTAGCCCAACTAGGGGTCGCCAGAAGTCACCATGACTTCCAGGCTCACACAAACAAAATACAAAAAAAAAAACCCCAAAAAACCAGCAGTTGACTCTAGAGCTCCCAAGGGCTTACAGAAAAACAAACTTAGAAACCCTACAGAAAACCAAACTAGTAGCATGCTCCCAACCTGAATATACGCATTGCTCTCAGAACAAACAATGCAAGGCAAGTGAAGTCGACATCCAAAGGATGAAAATCTGGGACCAAGTTTAATGCTGTTTTGAAGTCCCTTGTTATATTAACTCATCAGTATCAAAATAACCTCAACACAAGCTCCTGCAGAGAGCCACTAGACTTTGTGCTGGCCGGAGAAGCTCTGACCAGGAGCAGCCAAGCAGCTGGCATGCAGCTGTGTGACGGGTCAGTCCCATCCCTCAGCACCCAGGAGTGGTCGGGCGGCACACACACACTGAGCCACCTCCCAGCCTCCCCTGTCCCTGTCCCTCCTATTGGCAGGAGGAAGGAAAGGACCCTTCCAGCTTGCCACCCCCACCCCGCCCCAGAGCAGGGAGTCCAGCTCCCAGTCCCTTGAAGATTGTGTACCCACAGAAAGGTCCCTTTGGCTGTCGACCCTGTCACCTGGATCAGAGGTACACATGACAGACAGTCATGACAGACCCTTCAGGGATATCCATTTGTGGTGTTCTTCGGTATAGCTGTGGCTATAAAACAGAGCCTGCTGGGAGATGTAGTATTGTAGGACAGGAAATAAAAAGGTGTTGCCTGGACTTAAGCTGCCTTAATGAATGATACAGCAACTGTTGTGCCTGTTTAAGATTTACAATAAACCCTGTTTGGAATCTAAACTGTCCTCAGTTGCTTGATGCAACACCACTCCAGGGAAGTGCCCTCTTGATTACAACGCTAACCCTAACAGACCTCCTGCATGCAAAGCTGGTACTCTCCCACTAACCACAGCCTCCATCCAAACACTAAACGTATGCCACATCAGAGCATCAAGCCACCTGGCTCAGTACTGTTTACTGTGACGGGCATCAGCTCTCCAGAGCTCTGGGCAGACAACAGTCTTTCCTGGTAGCTGCTCCCCAAGATGCGGGGGACGGCAGCTAAAGCGTGCACTCAACCCGTACGTCACAGCCTGTCCTCCCTGGATTTAGTTGCTCAAACTCGCAGCCCTATTTAACAGCAGACAATGTTGGCACATCCAAGGCGGGAGACTCACTTTTCCAGGGCTCGGCCATGTTGGCATAAGTGATGACTCCACAGACGGCCAAGAAGGCAAACACGAAGAGGATCACGCTCCGCTGGAGACGGGACAGCTGCTTCCATTTCTGAGAGTGAAACAACGTTACAGGAAATCAGATGTTGTTTGCAGCCCATGGTACGGAGCAGAATCAGCACAGCAGCCCTCCAACCCTCTCTGCAAGCCTGTACAAACAGTACTCAACATGGCTTGGCTTCAACTCCCTCATTTCCTCACATTCGAGAGGCAGAAACACCTCCTGAGTTATTATTCATGCAGTGCCATTAATGAACCTGGCACTTTGCAGTACAATCCAAAGCAAGAAAGCTGCATCAACACATAGGAAAAGTAGGAGGAGAACATAGAAAACAGCCACAGAAAAGGAATTTTAATTGACCCAGGCCTCTTTATCAAGGATATTCTTCTGCCCCTTTCCTAAGATAAAGATCCTCTTCCTCAGACAGAGAGCTGTGGCTCAACGTGGACTGGGTGGATGGCAAAAAGTTTCCCAAAACACCCCATAACAAAATAAATAAATAATCCCTGCCCCAAGCAGTTTACAGCTTCAAGTTTCACAGCAGTGGAGAAATGGGAGGGAAAGTTAAGGAGGGATAAACACAAGCAACTGCAATTAGGGAACAATGACTGGGAACTTCGGAGAGTAATATACACCCACTCCACAAGCCTTTGAACCCACTCGGATTTTATCACACTTCTACTCTTGCCTCTGCCTCGAGCAGCTTAACTTCAATATGAACACGTCACATTTCTCTTCTCTATGGCCTGGTGCACTAGATCAAGAGCAATGCTTCATTTCACTTCCCTGTTTGACTGGGGCTTGGTGGCAGCTGTCAAAAGAATCCTGCCAATTCTCTACTCCACACATACATTTCTCAAAGGGTGAGAGCCCTGGCATTTCACCCTTATACTGAATCAGACCCTTGATCCATCAAGGTCAGTGTTGTCTGCTCAGACAGGTAACAGCTCTCCAGAGTCTCGGCTGAGGTCTTTCACATCACCTTCTACTTGATCCCTTTTAACTGGAGCTGCCAGGGGTTGAACCTGGAACCTTCTGCATGCCAAGCAGACGCTCTACCACTGAGCCACTGCCCTTCTTGCTTTTGTTGTGATGTTCCTCCATGTTCAGGAACACCACATTGCTGGGGTCAACAACTGGGGGGATAGCAGCAAATGAAGGCTGCTGTCCTCATACCCATGGGCCACTATGGAGACAGAACACTGAACTAAATGGGCCTTCTGTCTGATCCAGCAGGGCTTCAGAGGTTCTGCTAGGGATCACATAAGAGCAAACCTGGAGAGACTAGGGCTCTCACACAGGGCTGCCAGCAGGATTTATTGGTGCTCCTTTTCCCTCCACCCAGGGCACTTGTGAAGTTGTAATTTTTAAAAACTATCCTGGGAGGGTTCACATGCCTGCATTTAACAGTAGTGTGACAGGGCTAAAATCCAACATTTGTAGCTTTTCCAACAACAAGAGAGAAGGAAACACGTCACCTTTGAGTTCCTTATCTTACCCTGCAGCTTTTAGACATGTAGGAAGTCTTGCCAGCATTTTTTTCAAAGCTAGCCAAACCAATAGTGTAGCATAGGAGGAAGTCTGTGGAGTCCAGCGCTCCCAAATAGGGTTGCAAGTACATTTTACTGGTTCTCCCGTTTCCCATATCCATAACTCCAAAGCACAACTACCAGTCTACCATACAGAGATAAATTAAAAACACAACCTCCTGGCAAGGCTCTCAGGTGCAGCTTTCCATACAACCATGAGGGGCAGGAGGAGAGAAGTGGCTGCACTTGTGGGATTCTTGCCATATCTGCAGCTATTACAGACCTCGGCAGGGCTCCAGAATAACAGGAGCATACCAAGAAAGAAATCCAGCTAATGCAGCTTTTCCCGCAATGCCAGAGAAGCAGCTACATCTGGTGGATTTCTGCCCTGCAGCTGTTCAAACCCCAGCCCCTCCTGCTATAAAAGGCATTAGAACGACCACTGTGAGACCATTTTCCCAACAACCCTTCCCCCTTCCCGCTCTCCTCCTACGAAAGGCATAGCGAGGGGTCTGTCCACCTTGCCCCTTCCACAAGGGGCGCTCCTGAGCCGCTCTACCCCCCGCGACTCTATGGCTCTCTTCCTTACCCGTAAACAAGAGCGTCTCCGCCAAGCCTTGCTGTTGTTGTAGCCTCCTCCTCCCACCGCGGCCTCAATCCCTCCACCGCCGGGGCTGAGTGTTACCGAGATGAAGTCCCGCCTAGGCGGCGGCAATGAAGCCGAGTACATAGTGGCCAGCGGCGGCCCCTCAACCGCTGACCGTTCCTTCCACGGCCGCCATGACTCCTCCGGCTACTGCCCAGGCTATAGACATGAGCGGAGAGAGCGGCTTCTTCCGTGTGTCTCTTTTCTCACAAAGATGAAGCTCTATGATGCCGTTCCTAGCAAACTCCCCCTTACAATTCTCAACAGCGCCACGGAACCGCTTCCGTGCAAAATGAATAGTTGCCAACCTCCAGGTGATGCCTGGCGATCTCCTGGAATTACAACTGATCGCCAGACTACAGAGATCAGTTCCCGCGAAGAAAATGGCAGCTTGGGAGGATGTACTGTATGGCATTATACCCTGCTAAGGTCCTTCTCCCCAAACCGTGCCCTCCCCCAGCTCCACCCTCACATCTCGAGGAATTCCCCAACTCAGAGTTGGCAACCAGCATAAAATAAAGAAAACTTTCTTGTGCAGTTTTGAGAATCGTAATTGGTCACCTTCTTAAAGTACTTTTAGCATAATAAAGTTATTAATTTACTTATTTGGAAAATTTCTACTGCCAGCTAGTTAATCTTTGAGAGAAGACTCTAGTTCTAGAATCCATGGGAACTGTAAAAGCCACTGGGAGGCTGCACTGTGGGTGATTTGGGGCCCTGGCCATCATTCTTCTGCAGTGTTTGGCCTTGAGGATTAAATGGATCTTCTTAGAGAAAAGGTGGAAGTTGGAACAAAATGTAATAGTCTGACTCTCAGTATATTGCAATTTACAAGATAAAAGAATGTGCCATCTAAAGTGCTTTAACTAATAGTGACCTACATGTACAGCTTTCCAGCAAAAGTTGTCTTACCTTGTGTGATTCTTCTGCTTGATTTGTGTTCAACACTGGAAAATGTTCCCCTGGCTACACGGGTGACATTGTTAGCTGTGCTGATCATGCCAAAGGAAAGGCAGAATAGAAATCTAACATAAAAACTTATGGCAGCAGTGATGTTCCTAAAGATTATCAGTGGGTCTGTTGGTCCAACAGAAAAATTCAGAAGCAGGATTTGACAAAGGACAAGCCAAAGTCTGGGTGTTTCGCTCAGGTGTGCACAATCAGATACCCCACACCACTCCACATTTGTGTCAACTTGGTTCCCTGTAGTCTCCTACTTACAGATTCTAGATATTCTCCCCCCTAACCCTCTTTATCTGAGGTGGTTAACCTTGTAGGTTTCGACTCTTTCCATTTAGATTACATTCTTGTAGATGGATGCACTGTATTACGCTGTACTGTACATTAATTTAAAATTAATAAAGATGATTTTTAAAAAAACCCAGACCAATGTATGTGTGAGAAAAAGATATTTCATGATATGACACCCCCCTCCCTGCTGTTTGTGGTAGTCTTAAGAGAGAGACCTATAGGCATTACAATTACTGGACTAAGTGGTGCTGTGCACAAGAGACACCTTGAGGCCTGCTGTGATAGAGAAGCTCGCTAGAACTGGGAATTCACATATCCTCCAGCCCCTACATAAAGCTACCCATTGGCTTCTCTTGATTTTTTTTACCAAGTTTTGTTACTACAAGGACTACCATGCTGCAGACTTTGGGGGTTTTCTGTCAAGCATTGCAGCCTGCCTGATAAAAGGGGTGGAGGTGGGAAGTTAGCTCACACTTTTGCAAAAATTTGGTTGGTTCCAATAAAAGTTATTATTCTGGTGTACTTTTTAGATTTTATTTCCACCACAAATGAATTTCAACATTTATATTGTCATCTTTTGTACTGTAATGTTCATTGTGCTTCCATACACATACACCCTGGAGAAAGGTTAATTGAATATAGCAAGACTAATTTCCTACACACAAACATGCATAGGATCAAGCTCCAGGTATGAAATATCATCCAAACAAGTACCTTCTAGCTAACCAAAAGACAGCCCAACTGTTCAGTTATCTCTGCAGTCCAAGATGCAATTATTAGTTATGCGAATTTAGAATCCCTCAACTGTTTTGTCATTCTTGCCCTAGATGGCAATACGGGAAGATGGACTGGTCTGGGCATAGGAAAACAAGATAGCCTTACATGCCAGCAGTCCCTCACTTGTTTCATAATGTTTAGAAAAATAAAGGGAAAAAGAAGTTCAAATATTCATTATATACCTTCTCCTCTGTGTACAGGAAAATATGGCTGCATCTCCACTGATGTTTTGTCATATACTTCTGCCATTCAACAGGTAAACAAATGCTGCAAGTCTAGATTGTATATCTGGAGCATCTTCTGGCCCTCTAGCCCAGGTACAGGGTTAAGAGGATGGCTGTTTCAACACGCAAATATCCTTCATCTTATTCTCCATGAAAAGGTAAAGGCAGGAACCTATTGCATTACTGTTTCATTCTTGTGATCTGCAAATGCCTTTATTCATTCACAACATCATCAATGCAGTAGTTACATATTTCAAAGTGAGTGGCATAATGTAATGAAATCAAAGATATTCCAATATTTAAGAAGCTCCATGTAATCTCTGATCACTGCAATTTAATACAGTAGAAAATCCAGACTACGGCCTCCTTTTTATTTATTTATTTTATTAGATTTATATACTGCCCTCCCCACTCTAAATTGATTTAAAGGAAACCCCTCCTTGAAAAACCCAGATGTAGCCATCTGCAAAAGCAAAAACACATTCAGACCAAGGCAAGGGTAGTGGAAATCTCACATCACTCTGGATAACATTTTATAAATGTAAAAGTACGTTTCTAGTCTATACGAAAAGGAATGAAAATTGTATACAAACGGCCAGTTCTTGATATTTCAGAAACCTGAATCCTGAATTTTGATCAACTTTCTTCTAAGAATCAAATTACACATGCACAATGGAAATAGATTTGTTGCTTTGCTTCTCACCAGCAGAAGTCATTATTCAGAAGATGACAGAGGGTGCAGAATTTTCTTAGCCTCTTCTAACTCATCACCTTTCATTTCTTGTTCATGTTAAAATAGTTTGAAAATATATAAGCTATGCCTGCTGAAATCTCAGAAGTGGCTGAATTGTATTTTAATAGCTGGGATTATTTTAGGCTCCTTACACAGGCAAAAACATACAAAACAGATTAAGCTACATACAATCATGAAAATGTGCTCAGACTGCACGAAGTATACAAATCAGGCCAGTTCTTCTTCTTAATGAATACTTTGTAACTCTGGGTGCTGGTAGTGGTTCTCTGTACCACATAGACCTCCACCGTCTTGGACATGCTGTTTTGAAAAGGAGCACCAGGAGGAAGGCAAGCAGTTGGCAAGCGGCTAGTCCTCCAGGGACGCGCAAGGCAGTAATCTGTCCCTGTGGTGACCAGGCGCTGGGCAGCGGGAGACACAGAGGCAAGGCCTCAGAACTTGGAAGGGAAGCTGGGAGTCCTAACCCTCCCCAGCGGGCAATACCTTATAAAGGTCAGGTGGTGGTGGTGGCAGGCTACCCTGAGAGTGGAATAAAAGCCTCTCCAGATGTTGAGAAAAACCTATGAGGGCAGGGCGGAACAGGGCCTGCAAGCCAGAGGAGGCACGTTCTGCCACAATCACTTTAAGGTATCAGGTGCCAAGCAGGTATGAGTATTTCTCTTCCTTCCCCCTCCTGCACATGCAGCATCTTCAGGGTAAATGGCCCTTCCCCAAGGAGCTACAAAGAACACAGCTTCAAGATTTAGGAAAAGAAAAAATTATGTTCAGGCAAAAGAGCACCAAAACGCTTCTTGGTGGTTGTGTGCAGACAGGATGGGTGCCAACCCTGTTGGTCCCTAGGCAGTTCTTCACCAGCCAAAATTTAACTAAAGCCTCCTCATCAGTCAGGGTGCAGATCAGGCCAGCAATGCAAGTTAGACATGGACCTCCAGGGGCTTTAGGCGAACAGCCCTCTTTGAGACGACGGCACCTCCTCACAGGCTAGGGGTGGTGTTCTCCAGTGCCTTCTTCAGACTTATAGGGAGCTGGTCTGAAATGTCAGAATAGGGCACACTCCATCACAGCCCTCTCCAATTATGCCACTGCAAGTCTTCCACTATGGCTTCTATCTCAGTTGGCATTTCCAGTTTTATTATCACAGCTTCTGGTTATTTAGCAACCAGGGACAGAAATACAGAACTTCACATCCCGATACAAAACACAGTGAGGTAATTATGCTAGTTTTTAGCCCTACAAAAAATATAATAAGAGTCTGGCTCTATATTATTGACCATAGAATTCCTAGCATCTGCCACTGAAGCACTGCTTCCATAAGACATAAAGTTAAGAATTATATGAAAGAAACTTGAAAATAAGCAACTCCCCAGATAAAGAAGGTTGCCAAAGTTTATCTCCTGAAAGAGGTCTCCTTCATTCATGCTGTGCCATGAATTTCACGGCTTCTTCATCCAGAAGAAAAGGTGACTGAAGATTTTTTGCTTTCAGGTATGTCTCTAGACCCTAAAAAGAAAAGAAAAAAGTAAAACAGGGAAAGATAAATTATGGAAATCATTTTGGAAGCACTCCCTTAGTTCTACCGTGGTCACTGATCAGCAGTCCAACCCCTATACCTCCTCTCAGAATTAAGTAAGGATGTGTAAAACAAATTCATTTTCCTATCAAGATATTAATATTTCTATAATATTGATTACTATTCCCTACTGTTTTTGAAATTTAATCTGATTCAGTGGGAAACGTTTTTAGCTGCAGAACTTCAATGATGTTTCGTAACTCCAGATTCCCTTCTGACCACTTAAACTCACCTGCCTGGGTTTTCCCCAAAACCACTTGCCACTGGACCAACAATAATTAATGGCAACACTGCAGAAAGAAATGACCTGCCCATACAAGTCTCTTCTGTTGCAAGATCTGTTTGACTGATATCCTGATCTATCCTGACTTTCTCCCTTTTCTCTGACATCATTAAACCAGACCACCAGGGATACAAATTAAAAAACATTCCTTTATCTATCAGCATTCTCATTCACATAATGAATCGTGCTTCTTTCATTTGTTTTCCATGTTATTTTTCAACCCTCTCTCCATTCATTGGGGGGTAGGTGAAAAGCAGAAAGACATGCTTTTGTAGCAAAAGATGTGACCAACTTTTAATAATACAATTCTAATCAACTATGCTTTTAATATAAACATTTTAAACAATTATTTTTTTGATGTTCTAAAGTTTTTAAAGTTTCTAATGATGTTCTCTGTTTGGTAGGAGCATAACGAAATCTTCAGGAAATTTCAGGGATCCACACCAACTGCGCCTGTATTTCTAAGCCAGTTAAAAAGTACATGGTTAATTTCCCTTACAAGTCAAGCACATAAACCTTAACATGGTCTATAAAAATATCTACTCTCACCTCCCCAAAGTAAGAGACTAGAGGCGAAATCTCACATACAACTGGTGACTCTTCATCTCCTGATAAACTGAAAGAGAGAAAAATGCAGTTAATGCTTCTCTGCAGATATGTGTACAACAAAACAGAAGCCATATAGCATGTGCAGAGTGCCTTTCCCTCAGTGTTGGAGTAACCACAAGAAGCCCATACATATCTGGGATTGAGAGAAAGAGATTCTGGGTCAGAAAGGGAAACACCTCGGCAAGCTTCAAGCTCCAGCCCCTTTTGCTTTAGAAATCAGTTGCTGTATTCACACCTGTGAAGCTTCTTTCCTCCTCCCCCAAAGCATAAGACCAGGTCTCAGAAGCTACAAATCATACTGCAAACATTTAGCACTGGAGACTGCAGTTTTCCAGTCCTCCTGCTCCAAAATTGCTTCTCCAAACAACAGTTTGCAGAATGCCACTGGTTTGTGGGGGTTTTTTTTTGGGGGGGGGGGGACAGGAGAAGCATCCCCACCTACCTGTGTTTCTCAGGTATTCTTTGGCCATTGGCATCAACAAATGTTGCTCCAGCCTTCACAGCCCAGCGGTAGTGTTGGGACAGGAGTGCCTGCCGTGCCGTGGTGGGCGTATCTTTGTCGGCAGTGTCTGCATTTTTCAGTGGGGAGAATTCGTCTTCTCTTGGGACTTCAAAGGCCACAAAATTCCTATCAATGGGGAGAACGCAGAGGCTTAAAACTGGCTGCCGAAAGTCAACGACATGCTTCAGAAGAGGGAGAAAACATTGATACAGGATAGACACAGAAACAGAAGTGGGGAGATCAGAAAGGAAGGTTGCCATTCCTGATCTTGGGCCTTCCCCTACCCCACCTCCTTGGCAGCAACTGGTTTGGGCTTCATCCATTGATTTCTTCCTAGCCAGATTGATGTTCCAAGAGACAACTTGAGAGGTCTGAATCTGAAGAGACTCTGGGTTCTAATGGGATGCAGACAGTGAAAAATGCAAGTGACGGAAAACAGAAAACAAAGTAGGGAAAACAGACATAGGCTTAAAAAAATTTTTAAATGTTCCACTGAGGAAGGTGGATGCTAAAATATTTAACTAAAGAATTTTATGCCTCAATATATTCAGCTAATTTCCAAGCCACATGCCATGATTAGTTAAATTAATTGAAGCCCAAACACCCATCTACAGAAGAGCTGCCTCTCCAAGGTAATTTTGTCTTTGTATCAAGTACAACTGGTGCATTGAATGACCCCCCCAACAGAGCCACACAACCAAGTTATGTACCCTCTGAAGAAGATGCCAGTCTCTCCATGAGCCACAGCTCTGAACGGGCTTCCTTCCAACCGGAAGACTCCTCCAGATCACAAAGGAAAAGAGCGAGTGGGGAATAATATCTTTATTGTTTTGCAAAGCAAAAGTTTTTTTGAGGGAGGTCTGAGCGTTCCTCTAGTTTTAAATTCAGAGAAATAAGTTATCTAACGCATTGATTAACTGAGAGACGCAAGTTATCATCAGTTATCAGAAGCCATTCTTTCCAGCTACTACCTGTCCGAAAAGGTGCCAGCTAATTCAATCTCTCCTATCAAAGAACTTTTTTTGTTGTTGCCGTCAGGTCACAGCTGACTCATGGTGACCCCGTAGCATTTTTGATGCAAGAGATGTTCAGCGATTGTTTGCCATTTCCTGCCTTTGCATCATAACCCTGGTAATTCCTTCATGGTCTCCCATCCAAATACTGACTGGTGCTGGCCCTGCTTAGCTTCTGAGATCTGATGAGATCAGGCTCGCCTGGATACAGAGGAAGGAAAAAGAAATGGAGGGAGAGAGAGGGAGAGAGGTCTGCCACTAACTTAGAAAACTGGAACACATCAAACACAAACTTCTCCAGCTTTATCCCGTTGGGTTTTAGAGGCTTTACCAGATTGCCCTCCTCGTCAACAAATGGCACCTTCTTGATCGCCACGTGGTGCTTCAGCTGGGGTTCGAATTTCCTAGTGAGGTGGAAGAATGGAACCGTGAGCAAAAGTGAGCCCCGTCCCCCTCAACATGCTGAGGTTTCCACAGTACAAGCGACTCCAGGTGAGTATTCTCAACGAAGCTACTGTGCTTGCCGTTTCCCATCTTCCCCTCCAACATGCAGAGATAAGGCAGCCACATTCTGAGACTGGCTGAAGCCCCACGGGACTCGAGAACAGAGAGTTTGTTTTGTAACCTTCTGCAACATGCCTGAACACAGGGCCAAGAGCTGGCATGGATGGCCTAACAGACTCCCTATCCTTTGCTGGCCTATGGTTGCCAACCTCCAGGAGGTTGCTGGAGATCTCCCACTATTACAACTGATCTCCAGGCAACAGCGGTCAGTTCACCTGGAGAAAATGACTGCTGTGGAAAGTGGACTCCATGACCTCCTGAGGCTCCACCCCCCAAATCTCCAGGTATTTCCCAACCTGGAGCAAGCAACCCTAGGCAGGTCCCATCCACTCCCAGCAGGCAGCCAATCTCCCATTTCCTGCTGCAGCACTGCAAGAGGCCACTCTCATCCTCCTCTAAGCCCTGCTAGTATCTTGGAGGGCTGACTCAGCACAAGGGAGGGAGCCACAGGCCACTGCCTCCCCATGTGAATCGCCCCGCAGCTGCGGACAGCTGAGCGTGACTTTTGGCAGCTGAGTGTGAGTCATCTTCTCTCCCATAAGCCCCATCATTGCTGGAAGGACTGAAAAGAGCCATAATCCTCCTGTCAGAGGGGAAAGTGTGTGTGTGTGTGTGTGTGTGTGTGTGTGTGTGTGTGTGTGTGTGTGTGAAGTACACTGAAAGGCATTTTGCACAGGGCTCCTAGAACCTGCAGCTCTGCCAGTGTTCCCTCTAAGTTGAGTTAGTGTGAGCTAGTGCACAGTTTTTTAGCCTCCAGCTCACACATTTTTGTTTTAGCTCAGGAAGGAATGCTCCAGAGCAAATTAATTTATGCAGTAGCCAAATTGCTCGCTCACAATTTTAATGCCAGTAGCTCACAAAGTAGAAATTTTGCTCACAAGACTCCACAGCTTGGAGGGAACATGATGGAGGGGGCCACTTTGAGCAGCTGGGCAGGGGTTCCTTGGTAAATTAACTGGTGTGGGAAGGGTGCCCATAGGCAGAGCATTCAAGCACACTGGCCTAGAAAGGCAAACAGAAGGAAGCCACACTCCATTCGAGAAAACAGGCAAAACAACTGATTGATCTGGGACTGTCAGTTTAGCTGCTTAGGATAAGCAGAACAGTTTACAATGACTAAGCATGCTGTTTTGATAAGGTGCCAAAGGGTTTCAGGAAGTGGTGGTGGGGGGTAATTTCAGAAGAGCCTAAGGCATGGCTTTCAGACAGAAAATTAAGCCCTTTCTGAACCTTCCTTTCTGTAGTAATGTAGGACTGTCCTACAGCCTATATAAAAGTTGCTGGCCAGGTCAAATCTCTCCCCTTCTGCAAAGTCTGGCCAACAGCCACAGAAAATGTCTTTATTTTGACATTGGAGAGACATACAGAGAAACTTTCTGCATCTAAATTTATCTAGACTGCATTGTTCATCATAAGGATCTGGAATCAGTGCATTATGTTTTCTTCATATAATAGCTAACAAGTTGTTTAAGTTGCCCTCTTCCAACCCTGACAGCCCTCCCTCCCTGTTACAGCAACAGGCTTCTAACCAAAGGACTGAAATCTCAAATATGCCGCTACACAACTTGCAAAACTTGACCTGAGGTGCCAAGCTCTTTCCGAATCCAGTCTTTTGTAACACTGCAGTTCCTGCCAAGTTTTGTGTCCCTTTCAAATCCATATTCTCCGCTTCCTAAGCCCTGAAGTTATCCATCAGGAACACATACACACCCCAGGACAGGTGGGCACCACAGGACTTACTCTGCTATCTCCCGAAGGAAGCCAAGGGTGAAGAAGTGATTGCAGATATTACCGGCGCTGAACGTCAAGTGACCATCGGGGTTCCGCATCTGGGCACTTTCCAAGGTGATCTCGCTGTATTCCACCACCTGACACACTCCATCCACACGACACACCACCCCAACAGGCTCCGTGGGGTAGGCTTTCTCCACTACCTGCAAAGATAGGATTGACACCGGATCAGGAACTTGGGGAAGAAGGGATGGCCTAAGATGCAGGATGGCTACGTCTTTATGTCAAAGTGAACAAAACTTGCCAACTTCAAGTGTGCAAATGTTTCCTTACTGTGTATGAAATTCTTTAGCTTATGAGAACCATTGTGCAAACCACACAGAAAGACAAGAAGTTGTGCAAAGTACTAAAGACATACCCCCACCCCCCAGTTCCTTAGCTTTTCTGCCATCACTTCTACAAAGGCCAAAAATTCATTTTCCATTTTTAAAGGGAGGAAAAAATATACCCCATCCTCAAGATGTTCTGTCCTGGATGCCAAGTTCATAGACTTTTGAAGCACACAGAGATCCATTACTGTGAACAAAACCAAGGCAACTATTTTGAAGCCCCAAGAGCGGCCCCCTCCCCAGCTGCCACCTTGCATCAAATACATGAATTCATGTCTTTAGTAGCCTCGAGTGATCTAACCTACATACAATAAAATTAATACATAAGCAGACTTTTAAATTGCACATAACTCTTTTGCAGATGTTTAGAGAGAGAGAAAAACAAATCACGCACACAAGCTATTATGCATAATCATTATCCCTACCATATTTAATCGTACAGAAAATAAATCATGCCAGTCCTAACGGCAGAAAAACCACACCTCCCACAGACAGGGTATAAGTTCCACAGGAATCCACTTCCCCAAGTATACAGGAAAAAAGAACTGTAAATTATCCAGAGCTTCCTCAAAGGGCCTGACGACTGACCACAGAACGCTGAGTTTCAAATCCCCCCCACCAAGAGTTACTTCTGGGCACCCAGCAAGAGAAAAACAAAATTGGCCTGCTCAAGGGTATAGTATCCCAAGAGGGGCTCTCTTCCCTTCCCCACTCCTGTGACTCCTCACAGGCAACGGCCTGTCAACAGATGGGGTGGTTTTCTTTTTAAACCACTGAGCAAAAAGCAAAACAGGACCATAGATTTTTGTAAGCTGCTTTGAAGGAAGAATAGGGGGATATTTTAAAAAATAACATAACACGGACCCCAATAATGGCTCAGCAGAGACAATTCAGTGGAAAATGTTTGCAGAGAACCTCCAAGGCTCCCGAAAAAATAGCACAGAAGGACCGAACTAAAGAACAGATATTTTAATCCACAATTATTTGGCTCTCACCGCTAACAGAATGGAAGATCCCGTCCCCGCAAAGCCTCCAGCTATTCCAGTCCCAAGCCCTCCTTATTAATGAGTTTCAGGGTATCCCCTCACATACAACTTCCCAAGACAGTTCGGCCCCCTTCACCTTAGCACCGCAATCGGCCCCTTTAGAGACACAGAAGCCAATGAAGACCGGATCTGCCATTTTGACAAGGATGTTGTCCACACAATATACATGGATGTACTGAATGCCACGCTGATCCAGGTCTTCCAGGATCTTGTTGTCCACCAGAGCACGGTACAAACCACCATTGCCATCTGTGAGACGCAAGGAATATAGAACCATTGTCACCTTTATCTATCCACATAAGGGTTAAGACAAACATAACATTTGTAGAGCTAGTCTGGAAGTGGCCTTGCTTTATTCAGCACCAACATCTCTATCCTTCTGCAGGACTGAGGGCCACCTGTGAATAGTACCTCTTGACTAGTACCCATGATGTCACCAATCTCCAAAGTGGTTTTACAACTTTTACAACATTATTAACATAAAAGGATAATATACATATGGTACCAAAAATAAAATAAAAAGGACAGGCAGCTTGCCAGAAGTCTGAGAGGGAGGGGAGAAATTCCTTCTGTCATGTAAATTGCAAAGCCATGAGCTCACACTCCAAGTGAACATGCCTCTGAGGCTTTTTCCCCCTAAGATGATGAGGAGGAGGAGGAGGAGGAGATTGGATTTATACCCTGCCCTTCACTCGGAGTCTCAGAGCGGCTTACAAACTCCTTTCCCTTCCCCTCCCCACAACAGACACCCTGTGAGGTAGGTGAGGCTGAGAGAGCTCTTTCCAGAACTGCCCTTTCAAGGACTGCTCTTGTCAGAACTACGGCTTGCCCAAAGTCATCCAGCAGCTGCAAGTGGAGGAGTGGGGAATCAAACCCGGCTCTCCCAGATTAGAGTCCGCGCACTTAACCACCGCACCAAACTGGCAAAGTACAGGCAGAACAGAGCAATATACACAAAAGAAAAACCTGCCTGCATCACAGGGCAATTTAGAAAGTATTAAGAAGCAGCAGGGATGTAGTCCCCCTTCCATTATTTTTCGTTGTAGCGAATAGTCTTATGAAAAATAATAAAAATACCCTCTTGGGGGTTTCAAAAAGAAGAAGAAGAAGCAGGGAAGGAAAACCATCAATGAAGAGTAGCCCCAATCATTATTTTCCTTCTGTGCTTAACTGCAGCCTGGCTCTACAACTAGAGGAGCAGTGGGAGCGTTCTCATTGTGCACAAGACAAGCAGTTCACAATAGACTCAGGAGACTGTCTGCAGAATCAGCAAAAGAAACTTATTCCTGATATCATCAAGAAATGGATCTCTTTAATCACACTATCCCTGGTTAGCGTCCAGTAATGGCAGAATGTCTGTCACATTCATGCAGGTTTTTCCCTTCTTCACATGGTAAAGAAGGAGGACAGTTTTCTACTGGTCACAAAGCAAGCAATGCGTCCTTCCCCTACAACACATGAAGAACCAGGATGGAATCCAACAATGTCTTACTGCACCAAAAGCCACATTAAGCAAAAGAAGATTCCCCCATGAGAACCAGTGACGTGGAAAGGCAGGTGTCTATAGGAGGGGGCTAAGCAGCAAGCCCCGTGCTGTTGTTACCATCACCATCCGGTTTTCCAAAATGACTGCAGGCAATTGAGCGGCAAGTCGCCAGTCATGTGTGCACACAGACAAGAACCTGAGCAAGGCCACACTCTCTGAGCTGTACTTCTCACAAGCAGCAGATGAAGAGGACATCAGGATTGTCCCACTTCAGACTGCAGGCGGAGGCTCCTGCAATGAAATGCTTCTCCGCACAACAAAGACACTTGGAAATAGCGAGGTAGATGTCAAAAATGGTCCTCACTTTCCTCCTAACGTGCCATTGTTCTAAGTACAGGCGTGTGTTTGTACTGAAAAACATTTAATCACATGAACCTCCAAGTGACACAGCCCAGACTCTAGCAGCTCAACCCAACCACTGTCTATGAGAACCAGGCCCAAGTTTTACCATACAAGAGTCCCAGTGGCTCTGATGAGAAGTTCATCCAGCTCTGAACTCTGTTTCCTACAGGGGCCGCTCAAAGGAATCTGAGAAGGAATGGAGCAAGCCAAGAGGCACCAGCCCTCTCAGGGTTCAGGAACGTTTGCATCCAGTCCCTGCTACAGCACAAGAGGTCCACCTGTGGCACAGACAACAGCATACCTGGAGCCATGGCAACCTTGCCCTTCTCTTCCAGGATTGCCTTCCCATCAAACGTGACAGCAGGAAGCATCCTCTGCTCAAACATGATGACGTTTGACTTCTTCAGGTTAAAATAGTTGTGCTCCCGGAAGAACTTCTCAGTTGGCCCCAGGGTGAACTCGCTTGTCATAATATACCTGCAGAGAAGGAAAGAAAAAAACCTCCATATGGGCACAACACAATTAACCACCTTGCAGAAAGGTGTTTTCAACTCAAACAAGCATAATTCTGGCTCAGCTTTTCTTTTTTCTTTTGCTAGCTGGGCATGCCTAACATGTGATGGGCAAAACCTAAACACTTTTATAAATGCAGGTAAAAATACATGAGCGCCTCATGAAACTGCCTTATACCAAGTCAGACCACTGGCCCGTCCAACCAAGTGCTGTTTACTGTAAATGGCAGTGGCTCCCCAGAATCTTGGGCACAAGGATGCCTTTCCTGTCAATTGTTACCTGGGACCCTTTTAAACAGAGATGTCAAGGACCTTCTGCATGTAAAGACAGCACTCAACCACTGAGCTATGGCCCTACTCGTATGAAGCTGCTTTCTACTGAATGTGAACATTAATCCATCAAACTCTGTACAGACAAACTGACAGTGGCTCTCCAGGGTCCCAGGCAGAAAAAGCTCTTTTCCCATCCCCTGCTAACAGAGCTCCTTTAACTGGAGGTGCCTGGGATTGAACCATGGACCTTCTGCAGGCAAAGCAAATGTTCTAACACTAAGCCCTGGTTCCTCCCCATCCCCATGAGAATACCTTTGATGCCAAAGCAGACCACCAGCAAACTCTTTTTCCCTGAACCCTCCTTTCACCCATTGCTTCCTTTATGTGCAAGCTGTTCAAGGCAAAGACCTCCTTATTTTAACCTTCGGTATAGCTCTTTATAGATTCCAGCCTCTAAGCAAATCATCCTTGTGAACAGCTTTTAATGTATTCCATGCCGTTAGATGCCCTTTAGATATTTCCATTGGTCTGGAAGCAAAGCAGAGCTCTGGAGCATCACCCCATAACTTCAGAGAGTAGTTTCCAATTGCTGGGAGAAACATTTAATAGGCCCGAGAATCAGGCTACCCACCATGGGATGATGCACTGTGTGCCAAAACGCTTGCCAGCCAGCTGCTCAACTCTGCGAATCCTCTCTGCCTGGATCTGATAAAGGGTCTTGTGGCTGGGCAGCCCCACATCATACATGCCCTTGGGATAGGACACCCCCAGGCGCGTTCCTTGTCCCCCAGCCAGAAGGAGCACTGCCACCTTGTCCTGAGAGATCTGACGGAGCCCTGGAGGGGGGCAGAGAAAGACCAACTCAGGGCTGAAAGAAACCTTGGACAGCTTCAGGAAAGGAAGCAGAAGCTGAGAGTTGAAGGTGAATGTTATTTCTCCATGCTGCAACAAAAAGATAGTACATGCTGCACAAGCTCAAAAGCACTGTTTTCTGCTGAACACATCCCTGGGCTAAATGCCAGCCTACAAGGCAGAACTACGTTACACACCTAGCTTAGTTTATCGTAGTTTGTATCCCAGGCAGATGCATCATGGCTTCCTCCAAAGAAGCCTGGGACTTGTAGTTTGGTAAGAGTACTAAGAATTCTCCTGCAGAGATTCTATAGCTGCCTAACAGAACTTGCTCCCTGTAGCCCTGTTCACATGTTACAGTGAACACACATACATCCTAAGCAGGCATACATCTGTTTGTAAGAAAGAGCCACCATGCACTCCCTTCACATATGAAACTGGGTGCTAGTATGCAGATAAATGTGGGGTATCTACCACATATTCAGCTGTACATGCACTTATTGTAACATGAGAATTAACACAAGTTCATCACCGCTACGTGAACGGGGCTCCATAGCCTGAGAGCCAAGCAGGGAGGATTCAAGGCCAGTTCTGCCTCTAATGGTAGAATGGCATTTATAGAACCCTTACCAGGTATTTTCGGAAGTTTTACAATAATTCATCACAAGTTTCTAATCCATTTCCATACTTCACAAAAACTACTGATTTGTGTTTGAAATTAGGATAAGTATGAATGCGTTGATGAATAATGTATCGTTTTTGTTTGAATAAAATTAATGCTTTAAAAATAACTAAGAATATTTGACTTGCCAACTGAACAAATGTCTTTTGAATGGGCAAATGGCCAATGCTTTCACTTAGCTCAACACATATATTTGGGATCGTGTTGGGAATGCTGTGCAGTGACAATGGTATTGGGGTGCAATGTTGGAGTCTTGAATCCAGGACTGGAGACCTATTTAAAACCAGGAGGCCTGGATTTAAGAACTTACACCCATTGAAGCCAGCAGGTTTAGAAGGATGTGAGTGATGTTGGTCTGCCCCCACCTGCTCCAGAGCTAGAAAGGCAAGGAGCCCCCCCCCCCTCTCTGGCCTTGCTCCCAAAGGGCACCAGAATGAAAAAGAAGCTGCCACAGGGGTATTCTAGACTTTGGGAGATATGTGACTGGCGTCAAAGAAGAGGCAGTTGATTAACAATATTTTACAATTCTTTCTTTTAAGAAAAAAAAAAATACATTGGCCAGAATCCCCAAGGCCCAGAATCTGTATGCCCAACTTGCATATATCGAAAAGCAGCTGTAGTCCCCTCCAGATATACCCGTGACGCCCCTTTTGAGTAGAGACATGTCAAAAACAATAACATGGTTTGGGTAGGTGCTCTTGAAGCGGGATGTGCTCAAAGGAATTACAGGATTGCCCACTGAAAACAATGGGAGAGGCTTGATGGCCCAATGGAATTCTTTCGACGGTGGCAATTAGAAGCCTCGAGTTCCCCTCCTCCTCTAGGTGAGTCAAAGGAGAAAGTAAGCAGGTCCGGTCTGGTATGAACTGGCATAAAGTTGAGCGGGGTTTTAGTCCCGGTCGCTATTACTGAAACTGCTCATTGTTTTAAATTATTTCTTTGCTGTTTCACGTCTTTGTTACCGTTTTAGTAGATTCTGTTTTCCAAAACTTGTGCCTTCAAAGCTCTTCAGTGGAAATCTGGGATATAAAATTTTAATAAACACACACACCAAATTAAGCCGCTCTGCCCTAGTATGGATCTGGCATTGGAGACCGGCTGCCTCTGTCCATGGGAAGTCGATTCAGCACTCCCGGGCTTTCAGCCCTGCAACGCCAAGCAGCGAGAGGGCGCCATCCCCTACCTTCTTCCTCCCACCTCTCCAGCGTCGCCCGGTCGCTCCTGCAGACGCTGCCCAAGAACTCGGCCGGGATGGGCTCCAGATCGCCGTTCAGCCTGACTTGGCCCCGCCCTCCTTGCTCCCGAGCGCAGGCCTCCGCCGCCCGCTTGCAGTGCTTGTCCAGCTCGTCGGCGTCCAGCTGCACCAGCGTTTCCCAGAGAGAGTTCCGCTGGGCCGGTTCCAGCTCGGCCCAAAAGCGCAGCAGGTGAGCCTGGCCGACGCGCTCCAGGCGCCTCCGGATCTCCTCTTCCGAGGGCCCCATGGCCCTGTCCTCCACTGGCCGCTGCCTGCAGTTCCCCCAGTAAAGCGGAATCGATGCAAGCGTGCAAAGTCGACTTTTCCGGGAGCTGCGCGCCTGCCAGCGGATGCAACTTTGCTCGGGAGCGCGCGTGGGCCGCTGACTTCCCCTTCTGCCTGGAGTCCCGCCGGCGGCGGCGGCGGCGGCGGCAGGAATGTGATTTTTCCGTCCTCCCTTCCCACCTTGCCCTCCTCCTGCCCCCCGAACTGCCTCCGTCCAATCAGCCAGGCCAAGAGTCACTGAAGAAAGGGGGAGGGATGCCACCGAGCTGCGGGAAAAGCAGAAGGTGGAGGGCGGAGAAAAGGACGGAGAAACGGCCGCTGCACAGCTCGCCTCCGACGGGTGAAACGCCCCCTTCCAACATCCTGTTTTCCGCCAGGACTCAAAGACAGCTCTTGTCCCCTTGCGACGTGCCCGGAAAACTTTTTTAAAAAACGGGGTGGGGGTGGATAGGCGTGGAGCTGAGGTAAAACTGTCCTAGGCTCTGAAGCAGTTGATGTTTGGATCGTCTCCAGACAAGTAGCTACAGTCTCCTTGGGCACATGCGTCTCACTGATCAGAACTGAATTTGGGGAAGGGAGGGCACCCTTACTGCCCCCCCCCCCCATCGCTGAATTCGAATGGGGACAAGGTAGTTGAGGAAGCCTGGCTGCTTTGTTTTCATGAAGTTTCCCTGTGTGGGTTTTAGGCGGCAACCAAGTACCCCTTTCAAAGCCCAGCATTTGCTGAATTGCAGTGCAGTGGCACACTGAGGGTGCACAGGTGGAACTCTCAGCGGTTTTGGAGTTACACAAGCATACAATACACTTTGTTTTCCTGATTTAGGAAATTGGACAATTAAGCTCTGAGGGCTAAGCTGATTTGGGTCTGGATCATCCGAGATTCTTAGGAGACCCCTCCCCCCAAGTTCCATGATGGAAGGCAGGATATTACATCCAATATGTTAAGAGGCGGCATTTCTTTACTGTATGTCTATGCTGCTGTTTCTTGCTGCTCAAAGTGGTTAATAATAAAACTTAAAACTGATCAGAAACCTGACAGATTAAAAACAATAACGCGAACACCTTCACCATGTGAGGAAGACCAGCCACGGTCCTGTCTCCCTTTCCTATTTGCTGCCACCATCCTGGGTAAAATTCAGGGGGCCCCCCTCACAGGATAGGCTGATGCCACAGTGGAGTATCACTTTAGCATGCCAAGTAGCCAAGATGGATGGGTAAGGAAACATTCAGACTCTCTAGTGGAACAATTTTATTTCAACAAGGCACAGACTCAGGGTGCTACAAGGGCAGATCTAGGTGCACTAAGCAAAATAAACAAAAGGAAAGTAACTAACTGGGTACCTATAATCCATGGTATACCTGGCCTTTGTTAGTTGCGTGATACTCCCAGGTGCATCTGCAAACATCTTTAGCATCACTCCCCTCTGTCATCCTTCATTGCCAACACACACAGGTGAATCAGCCCCAAAAGGATCGACCAACAACTCCCTCAATGACTAAACAAAGGGACAGCTCTCCTTTTCGGACCCCTCCCCATGTGGACTCCTGGGGCCCTAGTCAGTCTGGGTGCCAGGTCCTGAGGCTCAAGCCCATCAGAACATGGACCATCCAGTCAAGATGCGTTAACACATCAAAGAGTTAGCACGTTTTCCCTGTCAGTTGTAAAAGGATGCTCTCTATCCAGAGCAGAGCACCTTTCGCACATTTTCCTAATCACAGAGATGCCACTGTGCCCTTCCATCACCATAACAGTCACAGCATATCTCACCCCTCTGCCCCGCACTCACAACACACCATGCAGTGTTAGAAATAACTCAGGAAAAGGCCTGTTTATTTTTTTTATATAGTTTATTTATCATTTTCCATTGTATAAAGCATACATAACATAATCATTTACATACTTTTGGAGTTTACGTTACACATTTTCCCCCATCCATCTATCTAACTTTTGCCATCTTTTTTGGAATATACTTTCTTCCTTCCCTGCTAGTATCATATTTAACTTGTCCATTTCTTTTATTTCCAAAATTTTCATTGTTAATTCTTCTCTACTTGGAATTTTATCTGATTTCCAAGCTTTAGCTACAAGTATTTTGGATACCGTGAGGACATATAATATCACACCTTGATCGTTATGTTTAATCCCATCCGGTAACATATTAAGTAAATACACTTCTGGTTCTAACTTCAAATCTATTTCAGTTATCTCTAATATTATCTGTTTTATCATTTTCCAAAACTTGCAAACCTTCTCGCATCTCCACCATATATGATAAGGCCTGTTTAAACAAGATACCTTACTATGCAGCCTGAACTGGACGAGAGACAAGGCAGCCCTGACTTCAGCTGGCCACCACAGAAGGTATTCTAGCCCCGGCAGTCATAGATCTCGCCTCTTTTAAAGAAGGAGTGTGAATCATGTGGGTGTGTGAAGGAGTCTTAAGGAGAAAGACTGTCTTTCAAATCTGAGGCTCCCAGACCATGAAGAGCTTTAAATATCAGGGGGAAACACCTAGCAGCAGGTCTTTCACATGGGAGCAATCCTAAGCAGGTCTACTCATAAGTAAGACCAGTTTTATTAAATGGAGCTTACTAACAGGAAAGCGTTTTGACAATTGCAGCCGTCGTACATTATCTAGCAAATACCAGGGATTGAACCAAGCCGATGTGCTGCCACTGAGCCACAGCCCCTCCCCAAGATCTGTGAATCCAAGAAAAGGACTCCACAACTGGAAGTGGATGCTCTACTACTATTTAACAGTGGGAATTTTTGATTATTGGGGGGGGGGAGTTTTATATGTTCTCCAACCACTAGGAAACACCCATCCAAATTTGGCTCCTATTGACTGTTCACCGGGTACACCACGTAAAATTATTCTCCAGCATTCTTAGTATCGACAACTATATTTTCCAGCCTCTGCTCTTGCCTTGTGTTACAGTTAACACTGGAGACAAATCTGAATGACACCTGGCTTTTACCTGTTCGAACACTGAATGGGCATTCCAGACCCCTTTGTCCCAGTAGCCTGAAACCTCTTTTACAATACTCTACAATTCCTTCCAGTCTCTGTTCCAAGGTGATTGCAAACTGCAGGCTTTGCTCCATCATACTCTGAAACACGTTTTTCTCTCCGTACACTTTGTACAGAATCTCCAGCTTGAAGATGACTTCTGGGAAATGCACAAGCTCGACATTTAGTGACTTTTAGGTGGCCCTTATAAGAAAGATAGTGCTGTTGTTTTTAGATTAAAGGACAATTCTCTGATAAGGAAAGATGGACATTGGCTAGGAAGGAGGGCAGCAGAAGGCCCTGTTCCACACTGGGCACAAGAGAAGTCTTTCTTTAACCTCTTTAAAGTACAAGCTCCCCCTCCCTGTTTGAAAGGGAGCTCTGCAGGGATGACTGAGACCCATCTGTGTGGCCTGCTCCATTTTCACCACCCATGCAGTCCCTCACTCTTTCCCCTGCACCTGGAAGATCACTGGGGTGAAGGCATTCACTGATGCAGCAGCAAATTCTGCCTGCTAAACATTCACATCTGTCATTTGATCCATAAGTGAATTAGCTGTGTGGCTCTGCTGCTTTCCAGACCCCAGTGGTTCAAGGTACATCTGAGTCATGATGAGTGGCCAGGAGTCTGGATTTTCAAGGCCATGCCGTGGATGCCCTAAAGTGGGAGTCAGAAGTCCCCAACCCACTCAGGGATGCTCAAGTCTGTAATAAAGCTTGACTTTGATGTACAAAGCACACAAAATTTGAGTCCAGTGGCACCTTTAAGACCAGCAAAGTTTTATTCTGGGTATAAGTGTTTGACATAGAAGCGCATACCCAGAATAAAATTTTGTTGATCATAAAGTTGCCACTGGACTCAGACTTTGTTCTTCTGCTCCAGACCAACACGACTGCCCACCTGAAAGTACACAAAGGACAGGAGGAAGTTATTGAGCAACAACTCACTACTTTTGGGAAGTGAAAGCGGTTTCATGTTTTAAAATTATAATTTGCTTTACAAATTAAAATCACACAAATATGGATTAAGAGATGAAAGGAGGAAAGAGAAAATTTTAATTTTAAAATGCTGAGTTTCAAAGCCAAATAGAAGCAACCTTTCAGAAACAAAACAACTCTCCTAGATGTGTATATTTTATTTATTTATTTATTTATTTATTCATTTGACTTCTATCCCGCCCTCCCACCGAAGCGGCTCAGGGAGGCTTACATACAATTATAAAACAAACATAGGTAGATATATAAAGTAACTCGACTCAGTACAACAATAAATACAGTAAAACCAGTTAAAACTATTAAAGTATGGCGGTGTCATATAATAAAGTGCAGGTGCAGCTCAGCCAATAGAATGTAGTTCCTACTGAAATGCCTGGCGAAAAAGTTCTGTTTTCACAGCCCTGCAAAATTGCTGGAGGTCCCGCAGGGCCCTGATCTCGCTGGGGAGCTCATTCCAGAGCGTCGGCACCACCAGGGAAAACGCCCTGGTCCTAGTCGACGCCAACCTGACGTCCCTAGGCCCGGGGGGGGAGGCAGTTTTGTGTTCCAGATCGCAGTGCTCTCTGGGGAACATGTGGGGAAAAGCGGTCCCTCAGGTAGGCAGGCCCCTGACCATAAAGGGCTTTAAAGGTCAAAACCAGCACCTTGAAGCAGATCCGGAATGCTATTGGCAGCCAGTGCAGCGACTTTAGCACAGGCTGGATGTGCTCCCGCATGGGGAGGCCCATCAGCAGCCTGGCTGCTGCATTTTGCACTAACTGCAGCTTCCAGAGTTGCCCCAAGGGCAGCCCCATGTAGAGAGCATTGCAGTAGCCCAACCTCGAGGTGACCATAGCATGGATCACTGAAACCAGATCATTGCGTTCGAGGAAGGGGACCAACTGCCTAATCAGCCGGAGATGGTAAAAGGCTGTCTTGGCAGCGGCTGCTACCTGGGCCTCCATTGTCAGGGAAGCATCCAGGAGCACTCCCAAACTCCTGATCCTCGGCGCTGGCACCAATGGCGCCCCACCAAAGGCCGGTAGAGGGACCCCTAACCCTAGACCGCTCTGATTCAGGCATAGGACTTCCATCTTTGTCAGATTCGAAGTCTAAGCCATCCCGCTACGTCCTGCAATGCCTGGTCCAGATCTTCCGGGGTAGAGCCAGACTGACCGCCCAACAACAGATAGAGCTGGGTGTCATCCACATATTGGTGACACCCTAGCCTAGCCCATGCCTCTGGGCAATCTGAGCAAGGGGGCACATATAGATGTTAAATAGCATCGGGAAGAGTACTGCCCCTTGTGGCACCTCACAAATTAGTGGGTGCCTTCGGGACAGCTTCTCCCCAAGTGCCACCCTTTGTCCCCGACCCTGGAGAAAGGAGACAAGCCATTGCAAGGCAAGTCCCTGAACCCCCACGTCAGCGAGGCGGTGGGCGAGCAACTGATGATCGACCGTGTCGAACGCCACCGACAGGTCCAACAACAGCAGCACCGCCGTCCCACCCCAATCCAGATGCCTCCGGAGGTCGTCTGTGAGGGCGACTAGTGCTGTCTCTGTCCTGTGACCTGGGCGGAAGCCAGACTGGAAGGGATCCAGCGTGGAAGTGTCATCCAGAAAGCTCTGCAACTGTATCGCCACCGCCCTCTCTATTAATTTACCCAAATAGGACAAATTGGAGACTGGCCAATAGTTGGCCAATTCTGATGGGTCCAGAGATGGGTTTTTTAGGAGAGGGCGGACCATTGCTTCCTTGAGAGTCCCTGGGAACAGCCCCTCAGAGATGGACTTGTTGATAATGTCCCTAAGGGTGCCTCGAAACCCCTCGTGGCCTGCTTTAATTAGCCAGGAGGGGCACAGATCAAGGCTGCATGTCCTTGGGTGTACCGTTGAGATCAGTCTGTCAACTTCCTCTAGGCTGAGCGGACTGAAATAATCCAGAATGGGACCAGAAGACGTGCATGGAGCCTCAAGTTCACTCACTGTCTCAAGTGTGGCCAGGAGGTCGCAGCGGAGCAACAGGACTTTGTCTGCAAAATAGCTCGGAAAAGCCTCACAGCCTATGTCCAATTCCCTAGCTTTTTGTCTGCCCTGTGGCAGAATTGTTAAAGACCGAATTGTTCTATACAATTGTGCCGGCCGTGAGCTTGCAGACGCAGCCGTGGCTGCATAGAACTCCCTCTTCGCAGCCTTGACCGCCATCTCATACGACCTCATAAACATCCGATAGGATGCTCTTGTCGCCTCGTCGCGAGCACGCTGCCACTGTCTCTCTAGCTGTCTGAGCCTTCATTTCATCAGCCTCAACTCCTGGGTATACCATGGAGCCAGCTTTGAACAAGGGCGTAGAGGGCGTCTGGGAGCGATCTCATCAATGGCCGCCAAGAGTCGGCCATGCCAGTCCTCGACTAGCTCATCCAGCGAGCCACCAGGGGGCAATGGATCCCGGAGAGCCATCTGAAGCCGCAGTGGGTCCCATTTGGCTCCGCTGGCAAGCCAAAATACGCTAGTCACCCAAACAGGATTGGGGTGACATATTCACTCGGGCCCTCAGGGCATGGTGGTCCGACCATGGAACTGCTATAGCAGTAATCCAGTCCACTGTAACCCTGCGAAGATCAAATCAAGCGGTCTTCTGAGCACAGGGGAAATACAAGTGGAGACATAGAGCTTGGATAGGGATGTGATGGTGAATTCACCTTCCCCCAGTGCACTCCTGGATCTCTGGTAAGGGGCAGCTGGCCTTGCAGAACTATCCTAAGGGATTCAGTGAATCTGCCATTTTCCCATCTGAAACTTCTATAAATTAAAGTTGCCTTTGCTACAGCTTGTGACCATGAGTTCTATAAGGCAATTTATGTGAAAAAGTAATCTAACTGGTCAATTCTGAATTTATTCCATTTACCCGTTGCCATGGCAGTGAAGTGGAGGGAGGAATCAAGCAGGCCCAGCCGGGCCTGGGGGAGCGCAGGGCCCCTTCAGCTTCTTTGCCCAGAGCTTGAGCCCAACAAAAACCCTCTTTCTACTCGGTATGGCAACAACCACCCCGGGAAAAATCAAACCGGCTCGCTAGTCCCTCGGCCAATCCGTTTGGAGGGCTCTCTCGCGCCAGCCTATGAGGGAGAAGAGGATGCAAATAGGGCTGACGTCACAAAGGGAGGTCCCATTCATCCTTTGGAACGTTCGGAAAACTTTTGGAGTCGGAATTCTGTGTAACAATATTCGGAACTTTCCCCAGGAGACGAGGGAGTCGTGCGCCGTGCTGGCTTCCATGGCGCCGGAGCGCGGGGGTGATGGGCGCTCGCTGCTCCCAGAGGAGCCGCCTTGCAGCACCGAGGGGCTGCCAAAGGCTTTCTTACAAAGTTTGCGGACCCTCTTCGACATCCTAGATGATCGCCGGAGGGGCTATGTGCACCTGCGGGAGATCGAGTCCCGCTGGCTCCAACAAGGAACCGAGGCCAGGGAGTTGCCGCGGGGTGTCTTAGAAGGGCTACGCCGAGCCGCCCCGGCCAGCGGCTACCTCACCTTCGAGAGGTTTGTGCTGGGATTGCGAGCGTCTCTGCTCACCTCGGACAAAAACCCCAGTCCGGCGATCGGTTGCAACAGCAAGGGCCCAGGACTCAGAGAGGAAGGCAAAGCTCCCGTTGCAGAGAACGGATTGGGAAGAGGCGGAGGCGCTTCTCGAAGCCTGGAAAAGATCCCCCACTCTCGGGTGGAACCGATCCAATGCAAGAGAGAGGGTGAGTGAGGGAGAGAGGAGGCGATACTGAACAGGGAACGAGGCTCAGCCCCGGGAGAGTCCTGAACACCTAAAACCAGCTTCTAATGACGCGGCATAGTTATTTCTTACTATCGGCGAGCAAGTTCAGAGTCACCTCCATACATTGGAGCCAGTCCTTGGGTCGATTGTTCTCTCTCAGCCTATCCTACTTCACAAAAATGGGGTGTTTTTTTCCCTCCGTATAGGAAATGTGGGATGGAAATTAATCCTCCAGAATTAAACACATCAGAACCTCTCCTTTTATAGAGGAGATGAGTTTTAGGAATACCTGTCCTGAGGGTTCTTGCTGACAGTTCAACGGGTTCAGCGCGTGAAGACTCTTACATTTCCCTTGGGTGTAATGCAGGCATCAAAACAAGTAGTCTGTTCATTCTGGAATTAATCTGAGAAACAGACTGATGAGTGGAGTGGGGAGTAGGGTTGCCAGCCTCCAGGTGGGGCCTGGAGATCTCCTGCTTTTACAACTGAGTGGCAGCTGGCAGAGATCAGCTCCCCTGGAGAAAATGGCTGCTTTGAAGGGTGGACTCTATGGCATTGTACCATGCTGAGGCCCCGCCCCGCCCCTCCCCAAACCCCACCCTCTCCTGGATCCACCCCCAAAGTCTCCAGGTATTTTCCAACCCAGAGCTGGCAACCCTAGTTGGGGGGGGGAGCCATAAGTGGAAACAGTGAGATCCCTAAAGGTTCTTTCTCAGCACATTCGCGGTTCATTCCCAAGACCACCTTAACTAGATTACTTCTCTTTGGCTGCAGTCACACACCACCTTCAATCCACTTTCAATGTGCTTCCCAACTGGATTTTGGCAGCTCACAAAGTAAAATCCAGTTGGAAAGTGCAGTGAAAGTGGATTATTTAGTGTGTGTGACCACAGCCTTTGAATGCTTATAACATCTCTAATTTGCTGTCCGTCCACAGCAGGAGATATTGGCCGGAAGCCGTCACAAAACGAGAGTGCCTCTAAGGGTCTGGGGGAGGCCCGAAGACAGCAGCAGCAGCGGGGCCGCTGTGGACACAGGAGACACACCCTCACCAATGGCGTGGACTATGGCATGGTAGGGAGGCCCCTCGGCCCAACGCCTAGAAGGTGTTTTAACACCAGGGATGGGAAAATCTAATTGCACTTTCTTCCTGTTTCGTGGCATAAATGTCAGCTGGGACCTACAGACTGTGTCAAGTCTGCCGAAACATTTGGACTACACTTGGTGCACTTCTGATTTCCCCCTCCCCACTTCAGACCCCAGCCCCTTGTGCCATGTTGCATAAACATGCTTTTGAAAATCCCCTCTGTTTGAAAAGCAGTTTTGCCATGTGCTGTGGCAGGCGGCTGCTGTTGGAGATACGTAAACTCAAAGCCCCCTTTGGCGCCAGTTGCCTAATCTGGGTTTAAAATGGATTGTGGGTATCTTTTACAGGGCAAGGTGTGTTCAGACTAGCACAGCGTGGTTAGGAAGATAGCCCTCGCACCAAGCTCCTCCGGCAGGTATCCTTATTGTATGTGTTGTGACAGACTATGGATTCACCTCTGGTACCAATCATGTATTTCTTTGTATACTAGTCTAGGGCATAAAAACAACTGATCATTTACGATTCTGACATTCAATTGTGGAGCAATGACATTGGGTGATAGACAAGCACGTGCAAATCCTTCCTCACAGCAGTGTCGTAAGCTTAGCTAATTTCTGGACTCCAAATAACTTTTTCTATGGACACGCTCTTTGCCGTCTCTTTGTTCTGCCCAACACGCCCACCAGTGTGCTGAATGCATTGCTGGCAAAGGTATGCCAAGTGGCTACCTCAAAACTGTGGAACTCCCTTCCACTTAAGACTTGCCAAAGTCCAAGACTGGGCATTTTCCCAGCTGGACTTTGAGATCACCTTTGGGGTTGACTTTATAGCCGACCGGGATTAAACTGGAATGGGATAAACTTAATTAGATTAATTTGGGTCAGTTCATTTTGGTGTGTTCTAAATGGGTATTTAACCCTGAATAAAAGAAACCCAGGCCTTTCTTTATCGCAGAATGTGTGTCTCTCGCTTCTCTTCCCCTCTGCAATGTGGAATTTATTTCTCACTCCATTAGTGTGTTTCTGCGTGTTTGCTCTCGGCTAACAGCAGGCTTACTCACTCATCCCTCACTGATCCGGATTGATCGGCCTAGTGGGGTCTCTTGTGGCTTGCTGCAGCTGGGATGTGGCCTTTTGCTGGAATTGGTTCGTTCAGGTGGCCTCTTTCCCCCTCCCTCCCTCCCTCCCTCCCTCCCTAGTGGGCACAAGCTGCTCTCCCCATCTCTCTATATCCTCTGTGCCGCTGCCTCCTCCTCCCACACCCCAGGATCTTCGATCAGTTGCAGACACGATGCCCTCTGTCTGCTCCCTGAGTGCAGAAACCAATGGCGGGATGCTGGCCTTTTCTCCCATTGCCATGGTAACTGGCCAGCCCTGGCCGGGAGGAGCCCAGGGAGGTCATTTGGTAGTGGATGGCCAAGGGAGCTGGATGGGGGTCCTTGCGACATACAGCACCTTCTTTGTGCCTCTGACCAACAGCCTGCACAGCCGCAAAGCACTCAAGTTTTTCCTCTGGGTACGTCCTTCTGTGGGTCGGGCATGCAAGGGTGGTGTTGTGGGAATTTAATTCTGGACTTAGGAGGAGATGTGAGGGTTCATGTATACTTTGGGGCAAAGGGATAGGAAAGTGGTAAGCAGAAGAGTAGAGAACCAAAATGAGCTATGGGTTGACAGCCCGGGTGGCATGGTGGTTGGAGTTTTGGACTGGAGCGAGGGAGATTTGGATTCTTCAGATCTGCGCTTAGTTATGAAACTCACGGGTCTTGAGCCCATCAGACTTTCTCAGCCTAACTTGCATGGTTGCTGTGACGACAAAACAGAGGAAGGGAGACCTGTGGTTGTTGCCCTGAGCTCCTTGGAGGAAGGGAATAGTAAAAATGTGACAGATCTATTTCTGTGGCTAACTTTTAAAAAGAGAGACTACTGAATATACTCGGATCTGTGTGTACATTGTGGGTCTACAGGGAACAGCTCATTGTGGTGATGGCCACAGAACATTCAGCTTCACGGGACTTTCTGCTTTTGGGTTTTCTTGAGTTTGTTTTAATCCAAGCTTCTAGCCCACTTGGTTGCCAGGGGACTAGTGAAAGTCTTTCACCAATGACATTTCAAAAGGTGGGCACATTGTTGAAATAAGATCTGCAGTGATTAAAGGCTGGAGCTCCAGACATTGCGCTTTCACACGTGTGAAATAATGCCGTTTCAGTCCACTTTGGCAACTGTTTGCAAGTGGATGTTGCCATTTCACACAGTCAAATCCAGTTGGAAGTGGATTGAAAGTGCATTATTTAGTGTGTGTGAAAATGCAGGTTGTTTATGAAACTATTCCACAAGATGTAGAAGTGAGCAATGAAGAAGTGAGCACTGACTCACAAAAGCTCCTATCCTGCCACATATTTTGTTAGTCTTTAAGGTGCTACTGGACTCTTGCTCTTTTCTACTGCACAAGATTTAAGTAACAAATCCCGATTTATGTATAAACCCCAAGGTTTTGTTTCCTACTTCTTGCCTCCTTCCCAACATGGAGGACACCCTCCCTATGCTGCCGTCTCTGTGGCCAGGTGGTCTGTAAATTCAGATGCCATAAAAAAACCTAATTAGTACACATTTGTGGTTAAGAGATCAGCTACAAACTGTAGTTTGAAGCCACACCAACCTAAAAATCTCAATTTGTTGGCCTTTCTGCATTTGGAGGTCACAACTAACTAGGTTCAGTCAAGAAGACTGTCTTCCCCCATAGACCTTTGAAGGAAATGGACAGTTGGTTGGGCTTCTTTCCTTTTGACTGAGTCTTCTCCTTTCTGAATCCTGGTTCCTGTTGTGTCATATGAATATACATGTGTGCACAAATAGATTTTATGTCTCTTCCCTTATGAACTTTCTTGTGCATGAAGATCGTCTTTGGTACTCCTTCTCTGTGTTCCAACAGAGTTTGGGTGGGTGGTGAGCAGAAATTGGGAGCTTTTCAGTGACACCACTGGAACACTTCCCTGGGACATAGCTTTGCACCTTTGCTTCCGGCATTCATATGCCAAACAAAGGGGTGTACATGTCTGTGTTTCATTCTGATTTGGCAGCACATTCTGGTTCTGGGTCTTTGTTTTCTGTTCTGATTTTGATGGAAGATCTCAGTCCTCTTCAGTTTCTGACGATTTTCATTTTGTTTTGGCATGCCGGCGAGGATTTCCTGCTGCGATTATTTTGACTGTGATGTTTGTTTGCCGCTGTACTGTTTTTCGGTGGTACCTAATTTAATATTTAGAGTATGCTTTAATGATCCACTGCTGTGGACACATTTAATTGGGGGGAAAACCTTGCACATTCTTTTATTGAATGAAAATATGCAGGGTGCCCCGTGGAGTTTTATAAGCAACAGATACATGTTTGAAGGCAATAAAGCCACTCATTGTTAAGAACCCTGACTTGTATCCCCTGCATTTTCTCTCACCATAACAGGGCCAGCTGTGCTTGCTTTAACTTTTGAGTCATTCATAAAGGTATAGGAGCCCCATCATCTTACAAGTAGGTGCTGAAGCTCATGTCCGCTTGAGAACCAAGCTCCAGCTTGAGAGCTTTGCCCTATATGTGGAGGCTGTAGTGCGGGGAAGCCACTCTGAACGTGCTCAGAGATACTCGTTCCCCGTACTGTTGCTTTTGTCATCTGCCTGGCTCAGATTCTCCAGCCGTGAGGAGCAGTGGGGAGTTGTGCACAGGCCAGAGGGTTGCCCCCTCCCGAGCTCTTTAGGGGGGGGACATGAGTTTCAGGTTGAGGGAGATGGGCTGTTCATATGTTTTAGCTTTGGTTCTCTTAATCTAGAGCAACAGGGACAAGACGTTTGATCTAAAAAAAAGATAAAGGAACATCGTTGGGTCGCTGACCCCCAAATCCCCAGGAGGTAACGAGTGAGAAGTCAGCCCAGGCCTGAGATAATGGAGTCTCCAAGAGGCTTTTGACCTTGGGAATTATTCTGGGGTTGAGAACACGTAAGGAAGTAGGAGGCAAACTGTCTCCTTGGACACGCACATGAACACGGTGTTGCTTCTGTGATGTGACTGTGGGCGGACACCTGGAACATCTTTGGCTTTGTGTCTTGGCAGCTGCAGCAAATGAAGGAGTTAGAAAAAGAGAAGGATTTTCTGCTGCAAGGGCTGGAGATGGTAGAGCAGGCCCGGGAGTGGTACCACCAGGAGATCCACGTCCTGCAAGGACGCCAGAAGCAGCTGGGCAAAAGCAAAGTTCACAGTGTGAGTAAAAAGGCTGCTGCCTTGTTTGGGGTGTTTCCTGCAAGTAGGAGTAGCTTGCAAGGGATTTGCTGCCCTTTGACTTACCTCCTCATGGTTTGGCAAGCAGCTCCCTACTCCAGCGTGGGTGGAGCTTGAAGGCCCGTTAGGGTGTGGCATGCCCTTAGAACTCTCCCTGTTTCTGCTGGGGAGAGCTACCTGCAGAAAGCCAACAGGGTGCTGGTGCTGCTTTGTTTTGTTATTTGGTGCGGCCATTGTAGGTTCACCGGGGGCCAATACCTGCTGGAGCACTAACCCCAGTCCCCTACTTTTGAAAAAAGAAGGCAGGGAGAGGCTTGGGCTGGCCAAAGAGCAAAGTCTAGGAGCAGGAGACAGACTTCTTTGGCTACAGCCAATCCTGCACGAGTTCAGCTGCAGAATGTTGAAGACGCCCCTGAGAAGGGGGAAAGGAGGTATGCTGGGACAGGAGTGGCACACACACACACCCGCCAAGGGGAAAGAAGCATCCAGTCGGGCAGCCCGGCTCATGCCTCGAAGCGTCTCCTGTCCCAGACTCTGTGACCTGCATAAGTTGTGTGTTACGTACATTGAGCAAATGTGCTTGATTTATTATTCCTCATTGGTTCTGCTTTTGCTGGTCACAGGGAAGGAGCAAAGGGATGCGCAACAGTCCAGTGGAACTGGGGCCTTCCTACAGCCCTGGTAACGTTGTTACCTCATTGTTCCCCCCCCCCCTCTCTTCTCCCCCAGGGCTTGCTTGCTGAAGGCAGTCCCGGCCA